TTTACAACAAAGATAAAATAAATGACAACTTTAAGATTGTAATGATTCTTAATCTGTGGAGTTGCAAGAATAAGGCAGATCGCGAGCAACAGTTTCTTTTCCTCATTATTTAGCTAACGGATTGTTCATAACAATAAACCATGCAAAATAACAAAATAAATATGACTTATTGAATTTAAATTTATTAAGTAATTGAATTTGTGTTATATTTAATTATTTTTCGACATTATGATTTATCATTATTATTTTTACATTTACAACTCGCTTGAGCATGTGGCGGTCCTCGCTTGCTAATGAAAAATAATGAATAATTGTTAATTTTATGATTTTGGAACTAAATTGACTGATCTGAGACTGATCACTGTGATCATAAGGTCTGCAAGAAAAGATTGAGTTGTTGGTGATATAATGGTCATCGGCTGTGTAGTCGAGGGCCGCTAAAGTCAGCGAGTACCAAAGAACACCGTCATTATGATTGATTATGATGTGATTTCGTGATGGCAGCATTTAGTCGTGATCTAGGCACTAAGGAGTCGCGTACACACTGCTACATCTCGTTACATACATAAGTCACTCACATTATAAACTTTCAGATCTCCTCTAATTGTAATAGAGTTCATTTTATTATATTTTTGTTCGACTGTAAACTTAGAATTTATTATTTTTTAATATTAATCATTTTTTTTTATATATATATTTTAAAGTCGTCTTAGCATCGTGTAAATCGCTTAGTATAGTAGAAGTTTGAATCTTTGTATTAATACAACCTCATTTTCATGGTAATGTAAAATATTACGATGTACTATAAGTTTACATAGAGGTGGTTTGTTTTATTGTCGACAACCTTCGTAACGAAACTTTTTAATAAAATAGCACAATACGATATAATAACAATTTCTATCGGGTAAGAAAGAAGAAACAAAAAAATATTTTTACCAAAAATACCTATTTTTGTTATTAGATTACTGTAAAACAATATAAAACTGTTAGTCCAGCACTTAGTCTGTTTTCATTCTGTGATCAAGTTACATTTTAACGTCTGAAGGCCTACAGTGTGGTTTCAATGGCGACCGCGGCGCTCGACGTCTCTGCTCACTTTATTCAAATAATATTTAAAATACAATTAATATAAAGTTTTCCAATAACATTAATGACTGGTACTGTAATACTTACTAGGTAGGCTTTGAATTCGCGAACGTTTTCAAGCAGAAAATCTCCATATTCACCTATAAATCTGTACTAACAAATCATTTTCGAAGTTGTATCGTAACCAGCCAAGTTATAACCACCAAAAACATAACTATTTTCTGACCTTTTGATTCGCGATAATCGGCTTTTTTGTAAAGTAACTCTACCGCTACATATCTGTCATAAATAAATAAATAAATCGGTGAATTGTGGTACGCATTGTGCACACGTGAGCTGCACTGCCAGTATATGTCGTAAATTATATAAGTAAGCTTGTTGTACGAGGTCCACATAGTGGGCCAGTACTAGTGTGGGAGGCCCCCTCGCTCGGCCTCTACCGACATGTTCTACTTAATACAGAGGGCTTCGAAACGGTACACACATACTATTGTACATATAGATGCTGTATAGATATTTATATGGTGGATATGCCTATGTATTGACAAGCATCTCGTATGTGTGTCTATGTTAAGGACACAATTGTCAAGTAACACTTAAGATGGAAATAAAAATAAATAAAAATAGTAACATCGAAAGGAAGTTCGTTATTTAACTCACTTTCCTGTCCTTCCTGAAATTCCTCGGTCCTTCCACTTTGTCAGATATATCATTACAATTAATTAATATATATTTTAGTTATTAATAAAACTGACTATGGTAAAAATTGCATGTGAAGCGTAGCCCGCCTGTAGGCTTCAGTTAGCTACGCGTTACGAGAGCAGTCCTAAACTTTCGCTGCGTAGTCACTACCACAATCATCGCGAGAATTTAGGCAGCTACGCTGCTTTTGCTGGTTCGAGTAAATACCACGATTGCTGCGACGTCAATGAAGCATTTTACAAAGCACAGATATGGGTTACTGATGGCGTAGGCGTAACGTAGGTAGAACACAAAAAGTGATACAGTGATAAGAGTTTCTAGGGTTGTATGTAGCAGGGCTATGAGCCGTAGAGCTATCTTAGTGAAAACGTAGCCAGCTACACGCCCACTAGCAGCATTGAATGTTACATCTGCAAAGCTGTACAGTTTTAGTTGTGAGAAAGTAGCCCGTTGCACTCTTGTATAACAGTCAGCGCTACGACGTAGCAGAGTATGAGAATGTAGTCAGCTACGTAGTAGTTGGCTCCTCACGCAGATTAGTCACTATAGTAAGCGCTACAAAGCATAGCGGTGGATAGTTTAAGCGTAGGTATGAAATGTACCCAGGTACTTGGCGTTCCGTTAACTCTGGGTAGCGCTACGACTATATTTTACGTAAAAAATCTGTTTCGATGGGAATGTAAACATTTTGTAAATACTTTCTAGTTGGCTTACACTTACTAGTAGTGGTATTATTACATAGGCGTAGCATTTTCGTAATGACAAAATAGCCAGCTACGCAGTACTACGGCTACGCTGTACGTGCGTGATCAGAAAGATCAGAATCCTTCTGATCATCATAACACTTACTTCACAAGGTAGCGTTAGGATTACACTGTTCTAAGTAGCATGACTAGACAACGTAGGCACAACGCTTTTTGGGGCCTACTACGTAGCGCTACGATCGCGTTGTGCGTAGCAGCGCACTATTCGATTGCTGGATGGAGTAAGAGTAGCAATTTCGTTATCTGTCGACGTTACCAGCTTGGCCGCGTTAAGCTAGAGCAGGATTGGACAGCACTAGGATTACGTATACGTAACAATACAAATAACTGCGTAGGCATACGCCTACGCCGTAGGCGGTTTGTACGGAGTGGTACGGTATGGAGTGCGTAGCAATGGAATTACCTACTCAAAACTAGGTAAAAAAAGGTAGGCCACCATAGTGGCGACTCTTCCTGGATAAAACTTTTTTACAAGTTACAATAACAGATTCTTCGTAAATGGCTTAGCCTTTGATAATTTGATATGGCATGTTTTCCATAAGAGCTAAGCTAGGAAAACTTAGCTTGAAAAGTATTGTAATTTGGATACCTACCCGTTTTAAAGATACGCTATATAAACATACGCTAATTAATTTAATGTGGGAGTGACCTTGGACCATTTATTTATAAAAATTCAAACATATTTTTTGGAATACTACAAATTTTTAAGGATATAATATACTAGCTATTCTCGCGCGGTTTCACCCGCTGCTCAGCTCCATTTGACCGTAGCGTGATGTTTTATAGCCTATAGCACTTACAAATTTTACCTCTTTCTAATATTAGTATAGATAAATTGTTCATAGGACCGCGTCATAACCTTGCAATATTTCAAAATTTAGATGTTCACGCTATAACATTACAAAATTTCGAACGCCTGTGCTACATCCATCGTAAAAACATATTTGCTGATTGAGGGATACCCCTCAGTCTAAGTCTGCAATAGGCTGGATTGTAAAATGTGGAACAGTTCGATCTCGAATACTACGATCTAGTTTACAAGTACTAGCAGTCTAGCTAGACTGGTTAAAGATCTTGAAAGATCTAGAACCAATAATATACCTTTGATGGAGAGTTTAAGGATTGCCTGGAGGCTCAAAGTATCAAAATTAAGACTTAGAAATGAGATGATTGACAATCAAATTTAATGTGAATGTCATCTCTCTACAAAAATAAGTCAAATCTAGCCTGTGTATCCATTTCATAATTAGAATAGGTACTTAGTATGCATTTTTTTTATTTGGTTATAATAAAAGTTGTTAGTAATCTCAGTAGACGATTAGTAAGTAATTCAATTAAATTTCGTAGAGTATCGATTATTTAGTTATAGAAGAAGTTATTTCTTGCTGCAGGGACGCTTTGGCCCCTTCTCCAACAAGACCTAGTAAAGCTTAGCAATAGACCGGTGAGTGGTTTTAGTACACATTTTTTTATTTTTATTATTGATTAATTTTTGATATTATACATTTGCAATCTTTAGGCATAGCAATACAATGAAAGAAATCGTCGACGTCTCGTTGTTGAAATGCTTTTATTTTCTACATAACTTGTACGAGTTTTAGAAAGAACTAAATTTGACGTTTGAAGTTGACGTTGTTTTTGGTATTACGTATTTTTTTTATAGAAGTGTTTTACTTTTACTTTTTGAAAATATATTTTTTTTCTATATATCTAGATCATACGCATTTTTTACTGAATTGAAAATATGTTATGTATTTTTAGCAACAATGAGGAGATTTTGTTATCATTTATAGACCTCTGGTAACTGGTAATTAACATACTATTCGTAATATATAAATAGTATCTACCTCCAAATTCAAATTTACACTCGAAATCAAACATTTTACGGCTTATTTTATTGCGTCACCATCATGTCCAAGGACATACAGCTGGCGCGCAGGATCCGCGGTGAACGCGCCTAAGTAGTATTCAGGTTAAAATCACTAACGAAGTTTCTGTTTCAGGGCGCGAAACATTCGGAATGTTTTCTATATCAATGTAAAATCAGACAAGTGGATAAAGACTAAATATAATATTAATATTATACCGCCCTAGTTAGGTTGTTAGGTACATACTAGTATATCCAAAAACTTCATGACATTTTGTAATTTATAAAAATGTATAGGAAAGTTTTGTATATTATTAATAAAAAATATAAATAAAAATAGACAATGACGTTTTATTTCGCTGTTATGCGTAGGAGTTTGAGCGTTCGAAGTTAGGTTCATTTGGTTGGATGTAAGAATTGAGAAATTAGTATTTTTGCAGCCTCTTTTCGTGGGTGATTGTGGCATGAGGTAATTAGACGTTTTCGCAAAAATAAAACGACGGAACAAAGCAGTCAAGTTCTATATTTTATCGTTTACTTAATTTATTTTGTACAAACTTCAACAATATATATAATAAATACTCAATTAAACCTCTATCATTCAGCAAACTGAACTCACTTTTTTGTCATAAGTATAGTTAAAATAAACAATACAATGATATTATAACTTATTGTCTAAACTTAATTAAACACAACTTCTTTGTGCAAATATGCCTAATAGTAGTTATAATCTTTGGTTTCACCAACATAAAGTGACGACATATTGGTAAATGTATGCCGCATAGAGCCGTATGGAACTTGTCAATCTCGATACCTAACGCTATAAGGAGCTTTAAATAAGAAATACTCTTAGATTGTAGTTCTTATCACATAAATGCTTACAAATTTTTAATAAATGCATTTCTGTGATAACAAAAGTACTAGCTAATTAGAAAGAAATTATAATCAATCACGTTTCATTTGTACTACGTGTCTATCTTGATTTTTGATTGGCTATCATTCTATGAAATGAAATAAAATATGGAATTTAAACAATTGAAAACAAATTCTGATTTCTAAGTGGTTTGTAGTAACGACAAATAATCAACTAGCTTGTTTATAATGTTTACTGGCTAACCGTAGGTACAATATATTCACATTTACTAATATGGCGATAAGCGGTAAGTATTATACCTTAATAGCTAATAATCAACAATTGGTGTACATTCTTGATTGTTTACACGGCACTAACTAGGTGAAAACATCAGTATTGTCGAGTTAAATCATATTTCTAAACTTAAAATACTTACGTGATTTTAAGTTACAGATTTTGATTTTAGATTTTTACAAACACGTCAACAAGGACATTTAAAACAAATGTTCAAGATCATCTTATCCGATCAGTCTTCCAAAGCGCAATATAATATTATATATTAGAGGACAGAGCTTGAGTGGCTCCACACGGCTCTGAATAACTAGTTACCTTGTGTTGAATGTAAAGTAACGTCTGACGTAACGCAAGAGGGAACGCAAGAGTCGCGACCGCGCGACCGCAGAGCGCGGGGCGGGCGCGGGCGCCGGGGAACCTCGCCCGCTCGCTCCCCGCGCTGTCTTTATAAAATTATCTACATAATCATTATGTTGTAACCATAATTATTGCAAAATATGTGCAAAACTGTAAGCGTCTCTTTAGTTTACGATACACTGACTCTTTAAACCTTGCAGCACTTAGAATTGTCTTGCACTTGAGATAATTTTTCACATTTTATGTAAACGAATTGAAAACAACCGGCACACAACTATTCGGTGACATGTTCCATACAAGGTAATGAAAAGCGAAACCTCTCGTCGAGCACACGTTAACGTTATTGCTTCAAGCTTATTACGTATCGCTGATATCAATAGATAGTAGACATAATATAATAAATTACGTGTTGCGACGTGCGGTTTGGGATCTACCCGGCAATAAGCTCTCAATATTTACAGAGTAGTAGAAAATTGACCACTTCCAAAGTTAAATTACAAAAATTGAATGATTCATTAGTCTGTTGTGCTAGAAAAGACAATACTGTCACAGAGTGGACCGTCGTGAGCAGACGGCGACGTCCGGCCAGGGGCTCCGTCTATCTAGAGAGATGTCAATCGAAAAATAAACAATACTTCATAATATCTACCTTACTCGGTAAGGGACGTTCGATCTCTTAGGTATATCAATATTATCTTATTGCTAATATAGTGATGTCTTTCAAGTAGCCGAATCGGTCGTACATCGTGGATGAACATTAAACATTATCAACATCGTCAAAATGTAATCTGCAAGAGCAACACTCGTCGAAGCAGTACCAGCCCGCTCGCTGTGTGAGATACAGGGGCGGGGACCCGGCCGGGGAGCGCCGCGGGCCCCGCAGCTAATGTAATCAGGGGAAGGCAATTACATTAACTAGGTTTGTGGAAAGTGCGCGTTACATAAAATGGCTCGATTCTTATGATGCGTACTGAATTAGGACGGAAGTGAATCTGGTACCGATTTCACAGCTGATTTGTTAAGCTTATATAGATAACGTTGCAAAAATTTCTCTAAACTCCTTAATCCCGAGGACCGGCGGCAGCCGTCCTCGCATAGCTAGACGCGACCTGCGTCGTTTCGGTACAGTGAGAAGCTTACAAATTGGAACTATTAAAACTATACGGACAAAATTGATATGAATCGGCGTAGCCATTGCTTCTCTTAAGCGTCTATTAAGATACGATAATACTAGCGCGCCCGAGAGCGCGGGCGAGCGGTTCGCGTAAATGTATGTAACCGAAGTGTGGACGTGAGGCGGTGCGTGACGAACGTGTCGGACGTGTCCAACGTGTCCAACGTGTCCAACGTGTCCGACGTGTCCAACGTGGTCGCGTGAGTGAAGCCCAAGCGGTGACCGCGCCGCACTCCGCCGCTCCGCCGCTCACTGCACTCGCTGCACTCGCTGCACTCACTCCACTCACTCCACTCACTCTCACCACTCCACACTACACACACTACACGCCGGGACCGGGGACATCTACTTGTGCTATTGCTCGACACCATTTCGGGGAAGTAAAATGATATCTCACAATCGGTAACAAATCATCGAACTTCACAATATTTATAAGTACAGTTCTGTTTTAGAATTTTACAGATAGACAGTGATATTCATCGAATACAAAAATAAGCTTTTAGAGTTTCCTCAATTTTATCCAATACCTTATATTACATCACTAGTGACGAATAAAAAAAGGGCACGCTCGCGAGAACGATCCTCTCCGATCACCGGGAACAGGTCCGCACGCGAACGCAAACCGACGAATACGAATCGGAACGACAGAACGCGGTGAACGCGCGCGCACATCGGTCGCAAAACAAACTGATCACTAAGCATCGGCCACGCGAATACAAAACACTCCAGTAAACACGTCGAACGTCTCTAGAACGCGAAGAAATCGGTCCAGGCGGGCGCGGGCGCGCGCCGCCCGGCCGCGGCGCTCTGCCGCCGCTAAACGGTGACTAGGGGCGCTTGGGCGGGCTCAGCAGCTCGGGCAGCGGGGCGGGCAGCGGCAGCGGCGCGTCGGCGGCCAGCGCGGGCAGCAGCGCCAGCGCCAGCGCGGGTCAGACGGGCGCCGGCGCCGGGCCCGCCTCGCCGCGCCACGCCGCGCCGCCGCCCAGCACCACGCGGTGCCCGTTGGGCGTCACGGCGTCCAGCAGCACGGCCGTGGCGGCGCCGGACGGCGAGGCGGCACCCGAGCCGGCGCCGGGCGCGTCGTGCGCGCGCCGGTGGCGGCGCCACGCGTGCTGGATGAGGCGCGCGCAGTACTCCTCGCGCTGCCGCCACAGCGTGGACGACACGGGCTCGTAGCCCACCTCGTCGGGCCGCCCCACCTCCAGGTCGCCGGGATCCTCGATGGGGTTGCCTTTCCGCGCGAAGAAGTCTTTCGTGAGTGCGTCGAGGATATCGACGCAGAACATCATGTCGCCACGACATATCGGGATGTCCATAGATATAATCTTGTACTTGTTCGGTTTGTGGATCTGCAGCGGCGGTTCCAACACGTCCAAAAAGTCTGACAGCTGGTCGTAGCGAATGTACTGGGTGCCATCCGGGTCGAACCGCTGCCAGATCTCGTAATACATGTCGTAATCGTCGTCAGTGAGACCTTCTTGAACGTCTTCTGTCGCCTGTGTGACAATAAAATAAATTATTAAAATCGTTTCATTAATCAAAACATAAAAGATCGAGTTAAATCAAATATAGAATAAAGATAAGTTACCTGTGAGTAATTCTCGAGAATGACGGCGATGTACATGTTGATAACAATAAGGAAGGAGATGACAAGGTAGGACAGCAAGTATGTGATGCCGATGGTGGCCGAGCCACAGTTGCCGGGGTAACCTCTCTCGTTGTCCGGCAGGTCACACTCTTCCTCATTGATGATACCATCCAGTACACCATCCCATCCGGCTGATGTTGACATCTGTAGAGAGATATACAATATGTATGAAAATGTGCAAACAAGATTCAATTTCAAATCATATACTTATAAATGTTAAACCAAGTATGCATTAAATAAAAAATTAACACAACCAACCTGAAATAGCAGGATCATACTCTGCACGAAGGTCTTGAAGTTGTAGACGTCATCGAGACCTCCTTTGTCCTTCACGTGCATGAAGAATGACATGCCGAAGATGGCGAAGATGAACATGACGAGGAAGAGTAGCAGACAGATGTTAAACAGAGCCGGCAGTGACATCGCCAACGCGAACAATAACGTCCTGATACCTTTCGCGCCCTTCACGAGACGCAACACACGACCCACCTTCGCCACTCTCACGACTCTCAGTAAAGTCGGAGACACAAAATATTTTTCTATAATATCACTCAATACCAAACCTGGGAACAAAGTAACAAGCGATTAGTCAACATGAAGGAAGACCAAAATGCAGTTGAAATATAGACAGCGAATTGATGATACTTACTAAGAATTGAGAAATTGACTACTACGAAGTCGAATAAGTTCCAAGGCTCAACGAAGTAATGATAGCGTAAGGCGAACATTTTTAGTAGGCACTCTGAACTAAATATCACGATGAATATCATGTTGAGGTAGTCGAGCACTGTGCTGAAGGTCTCAGACTGCTGGTAGTGGTCCAGCGTCATCGTTAACATGTTCAGACCGATGAACAACATGATGATCATGTCGAACTTCTTGTCCGTCACTATCTCAAACACGATGGCTTGTGGTCGCCACTGTAACAATCAACATTATGATCACATCTTTTTTCGCAAACCAAATAGAATCAGTAAAGCTATTGAGATCATTATAAAAATTTTATATTGTTCAAAAGTACATAATTATGTGTGTTTATTGAAAACTTACCTTCGGCCTCGGTATAGCTTTCAACGGTTTCTTAGAACCCATTTTCTTCATGGCATTGTAATATTTCTTCTGGTCTTCAGTCATGAACATCTCCAGACTTCCACCGGCTTTCTTCTTTTGTTCGTTAAAGTTGTCGATGATCACTCCGATGAATAGATTGAGGGTGAAGAATGAACCGAATATGATGAAGAATACGAAGTATAGGTACATGTAGATGTTCGTCTCTCTTATTGGTTGTCTTCCCACCTGCAAAGTGTAAATTAGTTTTTGTTTTAACATATTTCTAAAAATACATTCAGTGTATTTAAGAATCTGCATACAGTATCTAATAGCTGGCTCTGACATGACGTGAAAACATTTTTTTTACGCACCTCTCTTGAATCAATAGCGTCGTTCATAATCTGTATCCATCCCTTGAAAGTGGCCACTTGGAAGAGACAAAGGTACGCCTTGCCAACGTGGTCGAAATTCATCGGCGAGTTTTCCCATGTGTAGTTCTCTAAGATGCACGCGTTTCGGTCCGGAATTATCTCGTGACTAAGTGTTGTGTGGTTTAGATCGACGCACTGGAAACGAAAACAGAATGATTTTAAAAACTGCAGGATATTAGAAACAAATTCGATTTTATTCAAACTAATCAGAAATTGAAATCTGTCAAGGACAAAAGTAATACAAAACTTACTAACCTTGAAATACTTTCCAGCAAACAGCTGTACACCCATGATGGCAAATATAAGCCAGAAGATAAGACAGACCAGCAACACGTTGAAGATGGACGGGATCGCCTGTACCAGCGCGTTAACCACCACCTGCCACATACAGCACCTTTACTTATACTGCTCTAGGGAAACACATTGAACCATTTAGTTGTTATTCAGTGTACTGTGTAACACATACACTGTCATTTGTTTTGGCGTGCATTTGTTAGTTGGCATTTAAATCAGTCTTGAAGCAAAACAGTTTCATCGTTAGTAGCTACTGTGCAAGTCTATGTAGTTTAATATTCATTTGATTTACTTCTTACTTTGAGTGATCATGTAAATGGAACTGATTGAGAATGATATTAGTTGGGTATCTACATAACATGAACATATTTACATAACATCGATACACCGAAGCACACCTGGAAGCAACATAAATATACTACACTACTCTTACCTTGTCCACTAAGTTAGCCATCCGCAATGAATGGAATTAGTAGTAATGCATGCGACTTGCCGCTCGTACGATGAAGATACAAGAAGAAAAAATCTAAGGTGCAGAATATAAATTAGCATTCCAAATTACTAAGTAATTACAAAACTCTAAACTAGCTAATAATAATAAGACCAATAGAAAAAGAGACCAAAACATGGATGAACTCTCCTAAAGTAAACCCATTGAACCATTTCTAAAAGAGGTTTATGACGAACAGTGATGATACTAAGCCATTCAGGGGTGCCACCGACCACTTCAAAATGATTCACTAATTGTTATTTCAATAATTCGACTACTGCCAATGAGTTGGTAACAACTGTTCAAATTAACGATTTAAAACAAATTTAGATCTGGTGAGTGATGCAGAAATATCGATAAAAGGAGCCATACTCGAACATTATCAAAGATTGAATATGTATTTAATGATCTTAGAAGTTGAAATAGAAATGTGAATGTGAAGTGTGGAGCGAAGTGTGTGGTGGATGGATGAGCGATAGGGTGTAGTCGCAGCACAGGGTGGTACGTACCCTCATGCCCTGCATGCGGCTCATGGCTCTGAGCGGGCGCAGTGCGCGCAGCGTTCTCATCGTTTTGAACGCCTGAATGCCGCCGGCGCCACAAAGCGCCGCTACGAAGTTTATAAGCGAGACCTGATGAAATCAAGGGTTGCATATTGAGACAATTTATATTTCAACATTTGGTCGTACAAAGTTAATCTCAAGTCTACTGCTGCACCTAGAAAACAGACAATTTAAATAACAACAATAGATCCCACAAACGTCAAACAGGACAATTCCATATTATGGCCGAAGACTCACAACCAAAGTTACAAACCTAGACTGGATTATCATTTGATGATGACGAGGACGAGACGACTCCAACTGCAGAATAACAGACAGGATAAATTGTGACAAATCACTCAATACACACATTTGTACATTGAAGTTTTGAGGACATCAGAGAAATAATTTGGGTTATTTGTATCAATGGATAACTTAAAACTTGATTTATTCAATTTGGATTTATTTCTCTGATGCCCTAAAAAAAGCTACATCACAGGATAAGAACAGATATAAAGGTATATATGTATATAGGTATAAATAATTTGCTTATATTTGACATCGACAGCAGCCAAGATCATGTGCCATTTTCAGTTGAACCATGTTTCCTCAGTAAATTGAAAACATTTACAGATAAACTTTAAACTGTACTTGAAAACGGCAATGTCTCGTACGACAGCACAAAGATAGAAGTCGTGTTGGATCATGCACTTGAAAATATCAGGATTTCAAGTCACTCTGTGAAGGCCGATATATAGTTGGCCACAGGTAAAGTCAGGTAGCAGGGATCGTGGGTAGAGAGTCACATAGAAGCGGTTTCCATAAAACAAACAGTACGACATCGAGAGCTCGAGGCAGCGAGGTGAGGCCGTTCGGAGTTTCCACTGCCATAGACATCGAACAATCAAAGCTGCACGCTTTGAGTTGCGCTGCTCATCAAACGCGGTGGACATTATTCAATTACATTACATATAATCAATCTTTTTATAATTATTTCATGTATTTTTTCGGTTAATAAAGCATTGGTTTTATTCTTGTTGTTACTTTCAGATTAGTTGCGAGCAAGGTCACGTCGCTGTGCTACACGTATGGGAACAATTCTTAAGTAAAGAATTAAATAAAAATATTAAACAGGCAGCGTGAGACAAAAATTTAAGCATGGAAACTTAGAAAATAAAGAATTTTGTTACTTATTCTATTAAAAATTAATTGTACTGAAATGAACATAGAAACAAAAAACCAAAAAATATAGAACAAACGAAAAAACCGGGTTCTTAGTTTCCCAATACCCAGGAACATGATAACATTATATAGTTTTTTTACGACCTGTTGTTGTTTTTTTAAACAGTTCCTTTTTATGTAGCACGGCGAAGGCGACGGTTAGTAATGAGTTAGTATGCAGATGTGCAGCGCAACAATACCGGCGCAGTGCGCTACTCACGCGCATGCCCTCCCAGCGCGACACGGCGCGGAGCGGCCGCAACGCGCGCAACGTGCGCATCGAGCGGAACGCCGGGATGTCGTCCGCGCCCGCCATCACCGCGCCGTGGTTTACGAGCGACAACTAACGTCACACCAGGTCATTTATTTTAACATACGTCACACTTACATCTACATTTATACTTAGTTTACTTTATCTTATACTCGGTCTTCACACCACAGCACCTTCAGAAACTGTAGTGGCACATAGAAGACCTTCGTAAAACGCAATATGATCAACCCGGACAAAACCATTATCATTGTTCTTTACTTATAACGTTGGTCTAATCCTTCGTTAAGATATCTTAGTAAACTAATCTGGAAAAAAACTATTAGTAAATGGTATTTATGAATACAGAGTAATATCAATTTGGTACATTACCATGACAATGATGAAGTCGAGCCAGCACCACGCGTTAGTGAAATATTTTTGGAAGCCAAGGGCAAGCCATTTGATCAACATCTCAATGAAGAAAATGACGGTGAAGATACGATCCATATAATACAAGATGTCCTGAAGGATGGGTCGATGTGGTAAGTTTACGTCTTCTAAAGCCTGTAACGGAAAAAATCATAGATTGGTAATATAACACAAATTGGTTCAGATGAATATACCTAAATGTTATGTTGTGTTAATAGTATTCGATAAACTTACCAAAGCCAAACTACTGAGCAAAATCATTGTAATCACAGCCGTTTCAAAGTATGTGTTCTCAATGAGTTTGAAAGTCTTCAACCGTAGCATGCCCCAGCCTTGCCAGAAGGGAGATTCGTCGTCGCCAGCGAGGAATGGAAATTTCGCATAGCAAGGTTCTGGGCAGCAGTCAGCAGGACTGTCGTCAACCACTTCTTCGTCTGCTGCTACTATGATGTCAGTTTTGCCCAGACCTACATCTAATTTCCCATCTTCTTCTTCTTCAATCATTTCTAGAAACCATAAATGTAAATTAGTTGATAGTTCCTTCAGATAATAAATAGTCAGTTGCTCTTTTGTCATGAAACTAACCTTCTTCTAATCCTAATTCTTCTTTACTGGCATCTTTTTTCTCTTCACCATCTATCGTATCGGCTGAACCTTTATGACTTTCATCCTTGAATGATCTGATTTTATGACTGCCGTACGACTTTTGACTTATCGTATCATCGTCCTAAAAAATATATTTAGTAAGTACTACCACAAGAAGTTTTATTATTATTTTGATTGGTTATGTGAAGTGATTGTTCATTATTTACCTGTATAGGGTACCCATGATGATTTAATTCACAATCTAACCGGTTGTCTCTATGATTATCTGTTATTGCATTTATATTATTTAACAAAATCTTTCCTTTTTTGTATTTATTGTCACCTGAAAGTTTATGAATAACATAGATGGCATATTAGTTACGGAACAAAACAATTATAATTTCAAATCTATGATTGGAATACTATAGTTACCTGGTATAGTGAATTCCATACCATCACCTATAGCTACTTCTACTTGGTCTTTTAGTTTCTTGTCTTTGTACAATACGGCGTCGTCCAGGTCCGTGCCGAGTTCCAGTTCGTTGTCGACTCGCTCTGAAGAGACACAGCGGCCACACAAAGCCGCCTTTAAGCCTACATGTCGCACGATGTGTCCACGGTGCGTTCACGGAGGCCACCCGACGACCAAGCATAGAAATGAGACCAGGACGAATCGACTTAGTTAAATCCGTCAAATTGTTTCAGAAAGTCACATCGATACAAATATTATTACGCATTTAAATCCTCTGTACAAAATGGTAAGGTGGTGAACACAAAACGGGATACCAATATTTTTTTTTAATATTTGTGCTGACAGTAAAAGCTTGGGAACTTAATGTAAACAACAAATTTTTGTAATGATAGCGAAATATTAACGTTACCTCTTTACACACATAGTAACAAGCTAAAACATTTATTAAAACAACATCAAAGATGCAATTCACGGTTACAGAATAATGATAGGTAGCCAGATAATACAGGTACACATAAACGGATAACATTTACGTACGGACAAACAGTAATCATGCATAAACACACAAAGCACACATGACAAGAACAGTAATAATGATGACGAATCACAAAGCGTTTGAGTAATTATCTTATTAATTGGTAATTTAACACTTCTGGCTGTTTTCCGAAACAGACAAGTACATAGGTATTAAGTATCAAATAGTTATAGTCCTATCTGTCCTGTTAGCAACCAATCCAGCTGGTGATATTAAAATTTTTAAGTTGTAGAATGTTAAAAAAACAAATTTATGTTTTTTCTTCTTATTCATTTGTTTTCTTAATTATTTCTTGAAGAAATAGTTTAGGTGTCCTTCTATACATTGCAGTGTTATGATATTGTAACTTTATTGGTTTGCTAATCTCTTTAATTATATGAATAAAGACAAGTACAATGATAATGAATATAACAATAATGAAATGTATAGATAGATATAAAACGAAAAACTAACATTTAGGTAGTATTACGAGGACTCAAACACACGACATTTATACAAAGGGTCTGCATTTCTACACTTGGATCGCTAAGGCACAAGCAACGCACAATGGTCACAAATACCGACACGCAATCCAAAAAATTTATTACATTCGATACACAAATCCATGCTATTTCATATTATAATTACACATAAATCATGCTACGACACTAATTGGAATATTTTGAGCAGTTATTTTTTACATTTCATATATTTCTTCGGCAGAGTTATTGATTGCAATATTCAATTGATTGCAGTATTGACCGGTTTTTGTTTTGACAAAACCAATAAGGTTGTTTTGCAGTCAATGATTTATTTTATTCCTTTAGAATGTGACTTTTTTTAGTTTCTATTTTTAATTCGTTTCCAAGTAAACTTACCAAAGATCAGCATATAAATAAGGGTGTAATGTGATTGGAATTTATTTCCATATACATTTTTTTGATCGAAGCAAAAATATTACTTCAATAGTATTTCTTAATCCCTTATTAATAGTATTCATATTGCATTAACATTATATTAGTATTGATGTTAGAAAATAAGTTGTTAAGGTTTCGGATAGGATATTATATTTGATACAAAAGCGAGGACAATAAAGACTGTATACATATTTATCTACAATACAAAATACATAGAGATATAACGACATGCCACAACATACGGGCAGGGCACACATCTTACCGGGAGCGTGGATCGCAATTTGATTGGTCAATTTGTTCTTCAGTAGCTTCATTACGTCGGCTACGTTACGTTTCACCCAATCAATGAACCTCGATATTCTGTTGAAGGCCTCCGCAATTTTATTGGTATCCTGATCAGCGGTTGGTGTTGATAAACTCGACGAACCAAAATTGGACAGTAACAGGGCCAAGAAGAGGTTGAGTACCTGAAATATAATTTGTTTAGGCAATGTGTTGGCTAGTAGATTATGTTGGAATATTGTTTATGAAGTCACTTACCACAAGATTGCCAATGACGACTGTAGCCAGGAAGAATGGTATACATGATACGTCTCCAACCAACATACAGTCCCACATACTTTCAATCCATTCTCCGCATAGCACTCGGAATACAATCATGAAACTGTGCATGAAATCCGTAAAATTCCATCGCGGGAGGTCGCCGTCCGGGAAACGGTCAACGTAATCTGTGCATACATACCAACACATTAGTATATCTATGATCAAGGGACTAAGGTTGTCAAATAAATTTTACACATTTTGATACAAAAATATCTCCTCTTTACTTATTAAGCCTCGGACTTGTGTTCAGAACTAAGACATCTATGTGAAAGACAACCACAACACACCACGATACAATATAAATATCTAGATAATTAAATATGGATATTGTATAAATATTTTTAAATAAATACATATAAGTAAAGAGATATATTTTCTTATTTTGCAAATTTAAATATATCAATATATAAGCAATTATTATACAATCACAAGCAATACTAATGTCGCAGTATGAATAATTAACCATTCAAGTGGAAAAATCGCTATTCTTTTATTTTTGTTGTATGGTTCAAAAATACGATTTTTTACTTGATCTTAATTACAATACTGCGATTTAAGAGGTTCATTTAAATAGTGCTTTAATTGGCTATTTGTGTTCTAGTAGACGGTAATTGGTCTAACATTCTGTGATGCTCCTGAAGCTAGCTTTATCATGCAGGTCACCATGCCATGAGCCTAAAGTTTCAAGCATTATAACTTCGACCATATACTTACTATAGTAACGGCATGCCATTAAATAGTACTATAGAGTATTAGAGACAAATGTAGCGCTAACGGAAGGCATAGTAAACGTAAAAATTGAGAATGTCCAAAGAAAATTATGTAAAAAGGAAACGAGAAGTGGCTAGCGTACTGTCTCACAAGTGAGGCGCCTTTTCCATGGGGCTTTTAAAAAGAGCTGTACAAATATTTTAGGGCTGTCTAACTTGGAAGGGGACACATCGAATCTTACCAATTGTCTAATGAGCACAACAGTGTGACGCACATAAACACAATATTCACTATTCAAACAGCGACGGCGCGCCCCTGTTAAAGTGTGGACTCAGGGAAGTAATTTAGACCAGGGCCGTTACGGATCTGTTAGCATGTATGTTTCGTGTCGTGAATTCTGTATAAATCGTGTTTTAGTTTCGTCTGTATTCTATCTTATCGAATCGCATTATGTACTATGAAACAGTGACGGTTGATCGAAGTGTGTCATTATTGAAATGTTTAAAAAGAAACGTTTTATTGAAGTTATATTATATTCGATTGTATGCAACTGAATATATTGTTTAATTATTGTGCTAACATTCTTAAAGTCTTTTAAAGACGTTTCTAAATAATTTTGTCTTGATTATTTCATCCACGCTTTAACAGATTATGTCACGCAAAATATAATTCAACAGTTGTGCTCGCGATTACAATCATACTTCGAGTTGAAAACAATTTCACGTCATTAAAATATTGTGATTGAAAACCTGTTTTAGTCGAAGAATGTAAGTAATTCCATGATAACTTTGCTTTAAAAGATTGTCGATTAAGTAGGTACCAGCGATTGTATGTATCTGTTGAAATATATTAGAAGCGGTTCAGGGCACACCGCCGCGGCATACCAACAGTCAACATCTCCAATCAAACACCAATGTACATGCAACACTCCCACCAATTACACTTACCCACGTAATTTTTCCCGAATAGTTGCATACCCATCACCGCAAATATGAAAATAATGATGCACAATACGAAGGTCAGGTTGCCCAAGGCACCCATTGTCCTACCCATTATGGAGATGAGTAAATTAAGTGTCGGCCATGACTTTGCCAATTTGAATACTCGAAGCTGCAATTACAAATTGTGATACAAGGCGTCACACAAGCTCGCTTACCGGCGCTTCACCTATGCTACTGCGGAACCCTTCGAGGACCCTCAATCACTCACGGTGTCGTGCGTGAGTGATTGGGGGCCTAACGTTAGCTGATGTGTGCTCAGTACCTATCGATGTGCACAGACTTATCTCTGTATGAGTGGGATTTATGTTAGTTGTATAAGTGAGAGCTTTTGGATCGATAACATTTTGATCAACTTCCATATTATGTCTAGGTTCTAATTCAGTGTCTCTGTAACGACATAGATCCCATCAGTAGTCGACCTGATGCATCAAAGTACCCTTCGTAAGCGAAGCTGCAAGTCAAATCTATGTTACTCGATGCAAAGCTTAAATAATTATGATCTGAAGCTGCGTGGCATAGCTTTATAACGTGGCTCGTCTCAGGCTCGCCTGCGTTTCCGAGCCACATTCCGTGTTATAAAGCCACAGCGAGGACCATCAGTCCCCCATGAAAATAATGTTGAATCAAGCCCAGTGTAAAAATTTCTTTGTGTGAAGCTGAATAATTAATAATGAAGCTTAATTCATTAATTAGAGATGCTAAATTTTCTTTTAAATTAGAACCTGTGTAGTTCTTGCCAAACAACTGCATCCCCATCACCGCAAATATGAATATAATGATGCAAAGTACAAAGGTCAAGTTCCCTAAAGCTCCCACCGTCCTACCCATTATGGATATAATTAGGTTTAGCGCCGGCCAAGACTTGGCCAGTTTAAATACACGTAGCTGAAAATATTTCACCACATTTATACATAACTTGGATTAACATTAGTAACAGTCTTATTAGTATGAATGACAGTGAAGTTGATAAAGGTGACCAAATCAACAATGATTTAAAAGAAAATAAAACATAATATGAATACTTATATCAAGCATGAATAAAAAATATAGCAAACGAATTCTTCCAAATCAGGTTAAACGAAGAGATACTTGATAGTAAAGATGGCAGATGAATGGTATTGGACGATGAGATCTTGTTAGTAACAGATAGTATGTACAAATAGTGAGAGAAATACATACCAAACGAAAGGAACGCAACACTGACAAACCCTGAACTCCTTCCAATCCCAACTCCAACAGTGATAAGGCCACAATAATAAAGTCAAATATGTTCCATCCTTCTTGGAAGTAGAACTTTGGGCTCATAGCTACTAATTTCAACATGGCTTCTATTCCGAATGTAGCAGTGAAAAACTGAAAACAACAGAATAATTAAAAAGTGATCTTTTTTAACCAAAACCAAGAAATATTCTTGGATTTCGAATTTGTATATTCGTGGAATACTCACATAGTTGCCACTTTTGAGCGCCCTCTCCATGTCTTTGTCCATGTCGTGGTGGTCGAGCGCCATGAACAGTGTGTTGACTACGATACACAGGGTGATGAACAACTCCACGAACGGATCGAACACCAACAGAGCCACGTACTTCTGAAACTCCAGCCACAACCAACAGCAGTCCCACACACAGAAGAAGTCTATCGCCTTCATCAAGCACTCCAAGAGCTTCTCCTTGAACGTGGGCCCATCCTCATCGTCTTCCGCTGTTGGGAAGTAGTACACTGACACTGTTGCGTCCCGTTTACCACCAGTGTGCGTGTGTGTGTGTTAGAGAGAGAGAGAGAGAAACAATTTTTGTTAGTATTCGCTCATTATTTTTACCATAACAATCAAATTTGATTCCAATAAAAGACAGAGTTGAATTTAGATCAGATTTTATTTGATCCATTTCTTCGCTAATTCATTCTTTTATTGGAACTTACAGTCTTACAGTCTAGACCCCAATATCCATATTTTTTGTTTTGCTGGCTGTCATTTATCTATACAATGATGTCGGGGTTGCGCAAACTCGTGGCACTTGGTGCTGTTTGGAGATACTCTACAAGAATATCAGTCACACCACGGTGCCAGGTAACCTCGTGCAAATCAAACTCAAACATTACTAGCGGTGAAATACTCGGATTATCTCGAATGCTTTCAAGCATATTTCGCTTAACTACTTGAAATGCTCATGGATGATAATAGAGCTCATCTGTTCAATTTCGACTTCCGCAGACCAAAAAATATGAATATCGTGACTATCCATAGAGAGTGATTAAAGCAAAACTGCAACTTTTTGCACGGAAATTACAATTTTAATTATAATTTAAGTTTTTGCATGACGTTTTAGGTCATGTTTATATTGGACAAGTACAAATAAACGAAATCTAGCGAAACACGTGCAACCGCAGTGCATGCAAGGAGGTACGTCATTGCCTCCTATAAGTGCAATCAATATGCGAACGTAAACTGTGCAAGAAGCGTCTAAAGTACATTGGGCATGAATACAACAACAGTGTAACACATGTTTGTGTAATCAACATTGTAGGGTAATGTATGTACGCAAAGTAGGATGTATAGGCAACTACCCTCCAATACTTGTGTCAAAAAAAACTTCAATATAAATCTGTTCTGATTATTTCCACGTTCCAGTCTGTTTTGAATCACAGTGCTACACAATATTTTTACTTCAAACTGTGCAGCTTTCCCTTCAACTAAGTGCGTGCGAGTGCAACATTTTACTCTACGCTCATCGCCTATAAATGACATCCACAAATGTTCACATTTTGCCAATTATGCTTTTTTGTTGCATAATGAGCAAATACCTGTCAAGTGTGATCTGTTAGTGTTCGTGTAGGTTTAGTTTGTAGTTTATTTGTTTTATTAACTGTAGGTTTATTTAAAAGCAAATTACACATCGAACGTTGTTAAAGAATGGTAATAAAGAGAGCGGCTTTGGCATTAAGATTATTGTGTGGTGTATTTTCATACCGTTCTGATCGCTCGCCCGACTCTGGCGGCCAGCTTGCTCGATGATTTCATTCAATACCATTACATCTGCAACATTTTAGGCAATACGTTAAGAAATCAGCCTTACATTACTATGTACGTTTTCAAGAATTTGGCTATGTTAATTCGAAAACAAAATCATTACATTATTAGATATCGCTTCCTACCTCTCATGTCCACTACGTTTGGTTGTTGTGAAGATTCAATGAAGGGATTGTCTGTCGATGGTTTCAATACTTTCCCAGCTTCGTCTGTACATTCAGTCGTGCTCATTTCCTGAAACAATTTACAGCGATTACTAAACACATCAACCGAGAGCATTTTGGCGTATTCAATGTTTCCCTTGAAGTAATAAATTCTTAAAAGGAACTATTTCATGAAAACAATTACGGTTAAGTTGAAGGTTTAGGGGAAGAAAGTGAATCTATATATATGTATAAAAATCAATGCCACTTTTCGTTGTAATGTTATAACTTAACAATTCCTGTCCAGAGAAGGTTTGACATACATCGGGCGGAGTCGTGGGCGACCGCTAGTCATTTATACATATTTTTAAGTTCACGTGTCTAAAATAAAATTTGTTAAACTTACATATTCTCTAAGTGGCCTGGACGCTAACGAAAAGTCCTGACCGGGCAGTGGGTAGGCATGTGGTTGTGACGTCACGCTGTGGTTTCTCGACGCTGAGCGGTTCCTAAGGCGTGCCTCCTTGGTCTGCGCCTTACCACCGCCCAGCAGGTCGCCATGCGACGTGTACGACAACCGCGACTGATGCGACGTATATGATGAGTGACGAGATCCTGGAGCATTCGTTGGATGCAAGTTAGTTCACAAATACTATTAGTAAGATTAAAAGATAGAAGGAATACGGTATTGAAAAATTCGTTAAACAAATTAATAACGAGGATTTTGTAGTATCACTACAATAATGCTTCGCAACCAAACCCCGAAGCTCGAAAGTAGTCGAGCATTCCTGTAAATAATTGACGTGAGTAATTCCTATCATTAACAAAAACTGGCTTACCTAAATTAGCGTAGTAAACTGGAATAATGATAGCACCGTTCTCTTCAGACATGGGGGTGACGGCATTGGAGTCGTCGGCGTAAGGCAAGTGTTCTTGAGCGTCCAGGTACGTGGACAGCACCAGCGGCTTGCGGTCGGCGCCCGGCGGGTACCGCGACCGACCGTTCGGCCGCAGCGCCATCTGATGCGAGCCTCGCGACCCTCGACGCAAATTGAACGGCGAGCCAGGCAGGGATAACGAAGCCTGTGCCCATACCGAGAATTCAAATACTGACACACATCCACAACAACAACAACACATCGTCAAAAATAATTCACATTTCAACTTTCTCATGTTATTTCAATTATCATTTTAAATAAACCTTCATTTGCATTTACATATTTTTCCTCAATTCAGATCGAGTAGCTTTAATTCATGAAAACTATTGACGTTGATCACCATAACAATCTATTAAACCACTATTTCATGGATTCTATATCGAACTCTATTTGAACCGGCTGCAAAGGCTTTGGCTTAATGTCTTTTGAAGTAAGAACTCCTAAATGTCAATGATTTATTTACTTTCATGTGCTGATAAACAATAGTAAGAAAAATAAAGAGGAGATAGAAAAGATAAAGAATAATGAAGATAAAGTAAATGTTTGGTGCAAATAATGATCTATTCCGGTTATTTAAGGGCGAAAATAAGATTGTAATCCGAATAAAAATGTAAACAATATGAACAATTGCAAAATAAAGTGGAAGATACGGATAACCACTAATAGTCAAGAGATTGAAGAGCTAAATAGAGAAAATAAAAGTGGAGATAATCCTATTGTACAGGAAGAGGTAGGGGAGCACAAACACCAATGAGGATTGAGGACAAACCTGTGAGCCCTCGCGCAGTGGCCCATATGGTAACTGGCTGATTTTAGTTATGCGTTCAGGGTGGGGGACCTTCAATACACAAACAAAATTTCGAGTTTATTACATTTAAAGAACTTATTACGATCAAATATCTAGCATCCAACAAATAGGATAAAAGGACGGAGAAATAGGCTATGTCATATTACACATATTACGAACAAAAATAAACCAAGATGGCATACATTTAAAACTGAACATACAGCTTAGAAGCGAGACTCGTGAGAGAAACAAAATTACTCTGTGGCACGAGATTCCGGTCGAGGTCTACGGGTAATGTGACACTAGCTTCCAATGAAAATATAAATAAAATGCCTAAGAATATTACAAGTATTTACAATAAGAATTTTCCTTTGAGGTTTGCATCCACGAAGAAATAGTATAAGGATGGAGAACAAAAGTGAGGATGCTGTATAAAACTCTTATTGTAGAACAAAATACGGTAAGAAGTAGCAATGATGTAAATGGGTGAAAGCAATAGTTAGTCAAGTAACTTTGTTTATAAACACATGAAGTATTGTGGGGGTTCACATGCATATTTGCATACGACTATTTCATAGTCCTATCGTAGCTATTTACTTCATTTAATCTACATCTATAGTCATGACGACTGTTCCTTTGTTCGTCCAAATATTGAAGCCTCCGCATGTCGCTAATCGAAATTGAGGAATTAAATGTTACTTCAATATTAATGTAAGTTTTATGTTTAATTAATATATTTTGACTGAACCTACCTCTTCATCGTCGATACGTTCAGTTCGCCCGCCCGTTCGTAAACACTCACATTGCAAAAGAAACAATCTACCATGACAATAGACTCATTCGCTCCAATATTATTTCTTATCGGTCCTAGCTTACTAGACTCTGGTACTATGTACACAAAATATAAGTTGATATATCTATTAACTCATTTGTTTTACTTTTACTATGTTTTATTGCACGTGGAAAATGTTAAGTAATCTATTAAGAAATATTATTGGAGATCAACTGTAGAACTAAAGTGAACTACAGTGCATCATTCAATGAGCAAATATGCAACTTCTAGGAACCATGCTAACATTCATATTGTTTCCACAATAAATTATATTTAACGAAATTATTATTGGTTACAATCATGAAAGAAAATAACACTTTAAAACAAATGTTTTTCGTGCTGCTAGAAAATGTATTTGAACTGAAAATAATGATCTAATTGAGGAAATATGTAATGTATCATCTAGTTTTGTTTTTTTTTTCACAAGCATCTATCTGTGCTGTACATTCGAGGTGTAAACGAGGCCTAATGTATAGTTTTGTATCGAAACAACTAATCAATAATTTTGTGTGATTTTAAGAGCACAGATAAATGTTAAAACACAATGTTACAGACACAACAAACTGAGAATAGAGGGAACAAGAAAGACCAAGTAACTAATACGCATGCGTCAAGACATAAGATCTGATAATGGTAAAGGATCATGTAGCTTTATAGTACAGAGATAAAATAGTCACTGCAAATATTGAGATGGCAGAAAGAAGTTTCTAGAATATCTATTAGGACCAAATCTAGACATTTATTTTCATCTGGATATTTGCACTAGCGTTCAAATAATAAAGGTCATCACCGGCAAAAACAAAATGTTGGAAGCTTAGCGCAAAACACAGAATAATAAAATGGTTCTTTTCAACTTGAGCAACTGGAGGTGCTGAATGATGATGAAGGTGAGACGAGTGGAATTAAACCTTCTGTTCGAGAAGATAAAATCTATTTGCATTTAAGCAGCGTGTTAGTCTTAGAGTCAAGTTGAAAAGATACTGCTCGACTGACAATAATTCATTTCTTCATAACGTAGTAGTAGACTTGAACATGTCAACATCACTTTATTTATTCAGAAAGTAAGTAAATTAAGACGCATTATTAAAAAAATACTTAAAGCTTCGAGAATTCCATAAAAAAGAAAGCGGCTTATTATAAAAAATGTATACTGATGTTGCCGCGAGTACATCAGACGAAGGTCGCGGTCAATGACAGGGGACGTCCAACTCAGTTACAGAGTCGCTAGGTAAAGGTGGCGACACGCGACGCGCGGAACCATTGTCAGCGAGTGGGGCGTGTGTGGCGGCGCATACTCACCATGCTGACCTTCCTGGGGCGGCGTGCGGAGTCGTGGTGCGGGTCGGTGGCGGTGGGCTTGTGCGTGGGCTGAGTGCTCACCGAGTCCTGGAAGGGGTCGCTACGGAGGGACATGCGCTCGCGCGTATTGTCGTCCTGGTTGCCGCGCTCCTGGTTCACGAACAGCTCGTAGCTCTGACACGAGAAGTCGCTCGGGGACTTGGCGGGGTGCGCCTCGGCGTAGGCCGCCGCCTGCGCCGCCGCCGCCGCCTCCCGCGCATGCGCCTCGCGGGCCTCCGCCTTGTCTGCTCGCGCTGCCGCTTTCTGCTCTGCCTCCTACCGTAGCCGACCAATAACGTCGCGTTAGCAATTCCGAAGAAAATCAAAATATCTCGAAACCTTTTATTTGTGGTGTAAACTACTCTAATTCTACTTATTTCTACAATTCTCTATTTACCCTTAGAGCTTCCTCTTCGGCCTGTTCCTCTTCTTCAGCTTTCTTCTGCAACTCGTCGTATGACATGGCGACAATGGCCAAGATCAAGTTGACAAGATAGAAGGAGCCCAAGAAGATGATCACTACGAAGAATAGCACGTGCCATGACCCCGCTGACCGCAACACCTACAAACATTCACACATTGTTAGACAATAACTCTTTTGTAATATCATTATGTTATAATATGTTTTGTTATAATTATTTTGCTAAAGAGATTTTCATGATACGTTTTGTCTTATTAATCGAGAATTGAAATTAGTTTATTTATTTGTTTATCAAAATCTAATTCTATCTTTACTGGGTTTTCCGTAATGCGACAGATAACACCTATAGGGATCAGAGATCAAAATTCCCTAAATATTGGAAAACGAGGAACCACCGACTGAATAGTTAAATACATTTTTAGTTAAATTTGTTAAAAATGGCTTCAGAAAATAAATAATACTAATAGATCAATAATATGAAATCATGACGTCATCAAAGTATAATTTCGAAACTTAAATAGGACAGTTTTAAGTCGCGACTTACCAACTGATAGAGGTTCTCCCAATAATCCTGTGTCATAAGTCTGAAGGCTGATAGGAACGCCCACCCGAAGGTGTCGAAACTCGTGTATCCATAGTTGGGGTTTGGACCGTAGCCTTGTAGACATACATATCCGGGTTCACATTGACTGGAAACAACTTGCTCGTTAGAATATTGACAACTAGAGGTCATTTTGGGGTTATAGACTGAAAGTTTAATTTCCGACTAAATATTATCGACTGAAGTACTCATACTTTGTTGTTTTAATTATATTAGTTTATTATTAAGTATTTTATACCTTACCAGCTTTTATACATGAACTAAAAGAGGACACAAATTTAACACAAGTTTACAATAAAAGTACTATTCTTTTCATTATGTCACTCACCCAGCTCCTGATGAATTTCCACAAAGTGGATATTCCCCACCATCCCCATACCAATTGGCTGAAATAATAATGATTAGGTTTCAAATCACCACCTACTTAAAAATCAATTAAACTTTACTTTTACACCGTACAAGTACTTATTTTGAATTTGACTTTATTTCTTTTAAGATAGAGTTGATTTTTGGTATTATAAAAATAAAAGTGGTCTTACTCTCATTCTGGCAAAACCTCTCCCAGTTCTCATCGGTGAGGTTCCCCCAGGAGCCGTCTTCTGGGAAGACTTTTATACATTTTTGCGTCAACACTCCCATGTAAATCTGTAGGCCCATGAGCGCGAACACAGATAGTGAAAACATCGTCAGAATTATCACATCTCTCAGATTCTTCACTGATTCTATGACGGCGCCCACGATAGTCTTCAAACCTGTTCAACAAAAACTCTTTTCATATTTTCACTTCTTTTCATCTACTCATTGAAAACACTACGCAAAACCTTTTAATTAAATCACAAATCTCTAATAATTTTGGTGTTAAAATAAGTGTAGTTAAACACGAATGTTATTAAGTGTTCATAATAACGGTATTCGTTTCTGTGTAATTACCACTTCTAAGAAAAAAGTTGTCTAATTAATTATCTAATCTCTAAATATTAGGTACATTTAAAATCTACGTATAAAGAAGTAGTTAGGTACTACACAATTAATTAACATCTAGAATAAAATAGAAAAAAATGGTCTGACTATAAAATAGTGTAAAATATACTTCGGAAAAGATGGGACGGTCAGATACAAAGACTTCATTGTCTTGTAGTCACACTTGGTATCTCATATACGACAAAGATATATGAGTATTGTAAATTTTACTCTATTTTCGTTAGACTTGAATGTTTACCCGGAATGATGGCCACAGTCTTCAGCGCTCGGAGTACCCTGAACGTTCTGAGAGCGGCCAAGTTGCCAAGATCTATGCCCATCGTCACATAACTGGAAACAGACACCCACAAAAACAACATCTACGTTAATATACATCACTACAACACTACTCACAAATACTCTAAGAAAATAACTCATTGTTCCTATGAATGTTTTATTTAACAGGAAACTTTTGCTCATTAGGCCTCCAATCATTTACTACAATCAATTAAGTTATTTGTCTCTCATATCTTCGTAAACTGTCTTTCTATATCAATACAAAATTATCTATTAAAAAACTATAAAATGACACATCAATATATACCGATATATAATCTACAATTCAACGATTTTAACTGTCTACATAATTCAATAAAAATGTCTACTACTCACGCTAAAGCTATAACTACGAAGTCAAGCCAATTCCATGCATCTCTAAGGTATGTGAATGGCTGAAGTATGAAACCCCGGGCCATTACTTTCACCGCTGATTCAAACGTGTAGATCCCGGTAAAGATAACTCTGGAAAAATTCACCTCCACTGAGGAACGCCACTCGTAAAATAATAAAAACATTTCTATAATATGGAGATACAGTATTAAAGTTAGCATCTCAATTCGTACGAGATGGTAGGAAATGTATGAACAAAATATTTATTCTAATTATATGTACGTACAGTAATATTATATGTATATAATAAATGTGGGTAATAATACGGCTAAATTCGATATAGTATATGTGGTAAGAAAATAAATGTGATATGTACAATAATGACTGTATTTTGTAGTTGACTGTATAATACTGATTTGATTAATGGATCATTTATTTTAAATTGTGATGAGAGTTTGTAAGTCACACAAATGTCTCTGTTAATTAAATGTAAAATTAAAAAATGGTGTCTAGTAGTATCCAGTACAAATATTGGACAAAATATGCACATGAGTATTAGTCGTACAGCCAGGGTAAGTTAATATAATATTCTAAACGCCTGCCTAAAGCGATTTAGGATAACTATGTATAAAATATACATGTTTTATTGTATTAATAATGTTTTCCAATAATTTACTATAAACAATGTCTAATAATTTACGTCCGTTTATCTAAATATTGATTATATATCAATTGGAAAACTAGTTGAAACACTAACAATTTTGAAACTAGCGTGCACTCTACTAATTTCTAGAACCTAATAAAGGATATGTTCTCTCGTCCGGTGGTATTTCAAAATTGCAAATTGAAATTCGTAATCGAATTAATCTAACTTAAGATGTTGAAAAAATTATGATAATAGGAGGTATACTTACTCAGTACTTTCGACGGTTGGGGTCGTAGGCATTATCATAAGAATACAGTTGACAAGAATTGTCGTAATGATAAACAACGAGAACAAAGGATGTACTAGAATGTATATCGCAACTCTTCTTATAGGATTGAAAGGGTCCAATATCCACAGGGCGTTGGTGGCCGAAAACCTGAAGATATCTTTACCCTTGCTTATAACTACGAAAGTCTGGAACAAAAGGTAGAATTATTAGTTCAAAATATTAAATTGTTTTGATGCAACTGGTTATGTGTAGCGGTACCAAAAGTACGTGGTCGAATGACCTTAAAAATACCAGGGCATTTTTACACTATAAGAATGAAAAACATTGATAAAGAACAAAGGTTGCCTGTTTTAAAAATAAGCCGACGTTAATTTCCTTCCGTATAATTGTAATTAGTTATTGATAACTATCAAGGTTTTAGCCGATAACTAATTAATTAGTAAGAAATTACTTCGAAGAAAAGCTTTTCTCAATGAATAAAAATCTCAATTCATATTAAAAAATATAAAAAGAAAAGATTTGACTGTTTGTTTACTTGAATTGAATAGGCTCCAAAACTAATTGACCGGTTTGAACTATCCTTTTACTGTTGGAAAGCTACACTAGCTCCGGTGAACATATAACTATGCGAGTGAATACGGGGCCACAGCTGTATATATATAATTTAATATAATATTACATGTCTTAGGGCTGCCTTTTAAATGGTTAGATAAAAGTTACCTGGGGAATAATTATGAAGCTGTCGCAGAATGTTTGTATAAGACAGTGACAGCAACAATTTTATTCCTCAGATACATTTATCTGATTATTTTAAAATCAGCTCTTAGAAGAAGTAACGTGCTTCAATTATTTATTTTGAATAGCATGCAAGAGTCCCCAGACCTTACTTAGTTTTTGACGGACAAAACATTTAAATCATAGATTAAGATTTAGATTGAGAATCATGAAAAGTACAGATGTTACGGAGTTTACAATTGCAATGTGATTCTGTAAGACTTAATTCTAAACTTCGAATCTGAATCCGCTGTGAGTAGTAGTACACTAGCGCTTGCGAGTTGAACTAAAGTGACGACGACATTTTGATAGATAAAGTATGATATGACGTTAAAAGTGGCATTCTATAATGAAATTTTCCCGTCACTTCGACGCTCACTTCACACTCGAACAAGATTCAAAATCAAATAAATTTTATAGAATCGACGTGCTGTTTGAAAACGTCGCTGCCAAACATAAGGTACCAAACTCCATAGTTGTTAAGATTATTTAAATACTTTGCTCGATACAGTTATGGAGTTAAGATGTTTAATTTTAAATTTATCAGTGTTACAATCGCAGTAATTTTAATTATAGAGCTGTCATCATCATTACTTATTATTTAACCGCACTTATCTCTTAACGCGATATTTTTTGCACGTTTTGTAGTCACGTTTTAAAGAAAATATTTTATGTAAGAATTCACGTTAAGGAGACGCACGACCATCGCACAAAAAAATATGCAAGAGTGAAAAAGTGCATGTTATAGTAATGTAATGTAATCTTGTTTTTTTTTTAATTTTCTTCTTTTACCTACGGAAAGACGAAAAGTAGTGTTAGACTCTTACTGCCCAAAAACGCCCCGTTCCTTTTCCTACACCAGATGGAGGTTATCGGTAACTTATTGCGCTTGACCAGCAACTCCGGGAAATTGTGCTGTAGTAGTCAACATAACGAATAATATTTATGTGTTTGCTTGTGTGGGTGTGTGAGTATATGATGAAAAAACTCAAAAACTATTCTGTAAAAAAACAATCGAGAAGCAACATTCACCCTTACTAACAAAGTTTATATGTTTAGCTAAAAAAGATTAGAGATCCTTACCTAAGCTTAAATAATATAACTTAAGAAAAGCCAGGATGGGCCACTACTATACTTATTAAGCTGTAACACTGTTGCTAAATATAGTGTGACCTCACTGACACCAGACATTTGAACAAAATAGTACCTAAAGTTTTTTTTACTTTAATCTCTCTTAACAAAACAAATACGTTGATAATATAATATATTGCCTAATTACGTTGATAAATGAAGCAGATACTTAAGTACGTACACGTGATGTGGTTTATTTAGGGTTTGCCATTCAATTTTAGCGAGTCATGCAACTTGGGCAGTTTTTAATGCACAAAGATAATGTCCTAATAACACATATGTGAAAGATTGTCTGGATGTACGTAAGTGTGTATGTTTGTAACTCTTTCACGCACTAAATGGAAGAGACCCGAATGAAATTAAGCTCAGAAACTGATTATAGACAGGCCACATAGTTTCTTCTAAACGAATAAATTTTTAGCTTTCTAATATCAATTAGTGTAGGTACCTACATTAGCTGAAATAGAAGCCTTTTGGTTATATTTTCATAACAATTTATTATGATGTTTATTTTCTTTTGTTTTATTTAGCTTTGTTTTACACTTTTACTATTATTTTTCAGCAACTTACAACACACATACATATTTTTATATGTTTGTATAAAAATATGTAAGTAAGTACCTACTCTGATTATTTTATTTTTTAATCTGTATTTGGCCCAAATACTTTCATTCAAACCATTTTAACAGATATTCGTATTTTTTTGCCTAGTCACGCTTAATGTTTTAACAGCGATTATATTAATTTAATTTACATTCTTGTCAGTTACATAACCTGATAAAACTATGCAATAACACTATTTTATTAAAAGTCATTGACCTCGAGTAGACACTTAAACTCTACCTAACAGTTCGGATTTATTTATACTGGACATTTTGTAATCGAAAACAAAATATACGCAGTACACCACCTATAGGAAAATTAGCCATTTTTTATTCTGAAAAAAAAAATACTTGGATTTCCTTGTGCCTTCACAATTATGGAAAATCACACATTTTCTTACATCCACTAAGAGTGATTTATACCGCGCAGGAATGGAATTAGTAAGAATAAGGTAAAAATGGTTTTGTGTACGAAGTAGTAAATAAGAGTGGTATTAAAGTAAGGTCAGCGAAATATGGTCAGAATACAATGGGTCTGACAAGGTTTTTTGACGAAAATACATTTATGTAGGTAAACTGTTGGATCGCTAAGAAAAACTAGTTTTTAATGTTTAATACGTAATTTAGGTGAGAACAATAAACTAGTAAAAATATCTTAACTATTTATCAGGAACTCATGCGCAAAGTATAGGTGTTCTAGAGAGTTGCGGGGTAAGCGCAATGAGGCACCGCGGCCTCGGTCCAGAGCAGTAGAAGGAACGGTGGGGTTTTTAGTCAGTAAGAGTCTGACACTCTCTCTCGCTTTACCCTGGGCGGGAGAAGTCATTAAATAATTTTCCCCTGACAAAAAAAGGTGTAGATACTAGACAGAGAGACGGTTATAATAGAGATTTCCACCTGTTTCGGTCTTTTCAGAATTCTTAAAGCAGAGAGGACTGCCAAAATCACTTGTCGCGATATTTTTATCAGAAGGTAAAAAAAGTTATCGATTAAAATGTGCATACATACTTACTTTATTTTAATGTAAGTGAACTATTCAAAAATAGTTTTGTTTTTTCTTAACAAATGTGAAGGAACTGTTATCCAAAAAACACTTATGTATATATTTTGCATAACTACGCAAAATCGAGTTGCGCTGTCATCTGTCAGTTTAGCCGTTGCCGCGTTGTATCGCTAAAATGTTTATTTACAGTTCCAATTTTGAATTTGCTTATATTTAAAATGACCAAGAAGTTCTTGAGTGACTATTTTTGTATTATAAATCCGATCATAAGAAAAAAGGTACGAGTATAACAGTAGCTGTAAAAAGTGAATTTAAATTTCGAAAATCGAATTGAAATTTCTGTTTTCAATTATTTTAATATTTGAATTAAAATATTGGACGGAACTCATTTATCTGTACTAATATTATAAAGAGGTTAAATTTATTTTGTAAGTTTGTATGATTAAACATCACGCTACGTTCAAATGGAGCCGTGCAGCGGGTGAAACCGCGCGAGAGCTAGTATAATATAAAAGTTTTTCAAAAAAGCTGAACCAAATTCGCTAATTACGCTAATTATTTTCTTGTTGGACAAGGTTATTTTTTATAAAAGGAAAAGAAGGGTAGAAAGAGAGCGAAGCCGCGTTAAAGATAGTGATAAATAATAATGAATTGCTTAGATAACTTTACATATTCTTGAATTATGAATGACGCAAATATAAGTTTGTTATCATTGTCACAACTACCTATCATTTCAATAAAAAGCAATCTCGAATGACTATTCAAAATTATGTTAATTATTTAACATAACAAGTCTCATACCCGATTCGACTTGCACTATCGATAAATTTAAATGCAAATAGCATTATTTCCAAGATATGTTTGTTTCAATAATTTAAAAAACAGTGTTTTGTTTCTTTTTTTATTTAATAAAATAAAAACAGAATAGATTCTTAACGATAGTTAAATAAGTCGCACACAAAATGTAAAGTTATTTAAATTAGCTTTTTTTGGGGGGAAAAATCTTCAAATGACTTCTGTCAGACTCTAACTGACTAAAAGCCCCCCTGTTCCTTCGCCTGAGGGCCTACAATGACGTGTTAAAGCGTGAATATTTCGTGCGAGAAAGAGGGATGGAGCTATACACCTTTTATAGCTCCATCCCTCTTTCTCGCCTAGAAGATTCACGATTTAACACTTCATGGTAGGCCGACTACTCCAGGCTGAGACAGCCATACCTACATTATTGCGTTGAACCCGCAACCTATTATAAATATAGCTTGGTGTAGATATGTTACAAAATGCGATAAGTACTAAAATACATAACAAGTTTAAGTCACATTGAATCCTTATTAATAACATTCCGTACAAGACCGAATACGGACACGACATAAATACTGGAAAATAAATTGTCACGTGTTCTCAACGAGTTTTTATGGAAATTATTTATTATATATTATTTAAAAATATTGCTTCGTCACTGTGATTTAGCAAAATTCAAATCGTAAGTGGTCCTCATCCTTATTAAACTAATAACAAAGTTCTTAGTGGCATATGAACGTGATAATATGTAATAAATAGTCGACTAATAATGACTTGCTTTTAAAAACGTAAATAAACATCTGTTGTTAAGGTATTTAACAATCTCGTAGATAAGTGTACATTACGTGTTTTGTTATTATAGTTATATAATTAAGTTTATTCTATAGTAATCGGTTCTTTCGACGAAATCCGGTTTAAAGTAGTATTTACTAATACAACGATGTGTCAAGTTTAGTCACAGCGTGACATTATATTGAACAACTGGTTTGGTACCGCCCACATTTAGTAGCTACAGTTGGAACATCACAGTTATACTTACTCTTTGGTTGTGATAGAAGGGGTCGATGTCCTCGAGGGGTATGGAGGACACCTCCGCCGGAAAGGAGCCCTGCATTCGCACCGGCAGCGGCAGGCCCTGCTCCAGGGTCGCGTCCGGCTGAGGACCTTCGTCCTCGTCCTCGTCATCGTAACGCACCTAAGTTGACACAATAAGAGCATTACAATAAATTCAAGCATCATACGAATCAACTACAAAGGGGCCAACGGCAGATCCAAAGAACACAGCCTATCAACGCTCTTGAAACATTAAAGGCGCTGTTACAAAGAATGCTAAAGTATTCCCTTTTGTTTCAAAGACGACATAATGCTCCCGAGCTTTAGATAATGTCTGTCGTTCAAGAAAGAAAATAACATTCAGCTTATTTACATGAGAATATGAATAACGGAGCAATGACCTGAGGATCTGCATTTGACAAATACACGAATCTTTTTTTTTTCATTCGTTAATGAGCCACCCAGTTACCGTGTCCGTCTAGTTTACTTTGTAATATTTACTTACGCTTGGTCATTGTGCCAGTCCAGTGGCAGCGAGACAAGCTAGCCTACGGTAAGCCTAGTGTGACAGACCATTATATCATGAGCTTAGTAATGCGTATGTCCTCGTAACAATACTGTTGGCCTCTCACACAACTAGTATTATTACAGAGTCAGTTGGTGGGACAGCATGTCTGTGAAGGCGTTCCAAGCTAGTTTTATTCTGTGTAGTGCTGCTGTCTGTGTGACTATGATGCGTTGCTGGCATAACTAAAAGCATTTCACTTTAACATTCCCACTATTATGTTACCATTCCGAATGTACGAACTATTTATTCCGAATACTTCGGCTGTGTATAACATAAGGGCAATTATGTGTCAGACTGACTATGACGTCTATTCGAAAACGGTCCCAGAATAGGAGGCGTGACTAGCGCAAGCCCAAAATGTTACAAAATACGATCCATAACCAACAAAACTTGATGTTTATCAGAATTATTGTTAACTGTTTACACTATTATGCACTAAACGCTAGCTAGGTGATGCCACCATGATAGACCTAGATGACGGCAGTCGATGATGAGTGACGAACATGAGCCAGTCCTGTGCAATGCTTGAAATGGTATGTTATGTGCTGGTGTACTTTGATTGCTAACGGTTATACCTGGAGATCCTACCATTTACACGTTACCGTTATACATAATAAGGGGACTCTTAGATCGATTTATTCCTATTGAAAGTTATTTTGGTCTAAAAGGGCATTGACTACGTAAATTCAATCGTCAATTAATTCTATTACTGGGTTCAAGGTTGGCTAGTGGTTCTTCTATGTCTAAATAAGGGAATCACGAGTTTCTGTCACTTACTATAGGGGAGGGTACTCACATTTTATGAATGGTAGGACTAAGTACTATCGTTTTGGTTTTTGCATTTCTTTCTTTCTTTCTTATATCTTTTCATCTGTCTGACTAAGACATATTTAGTTTATCGAAATGCAAATAAACATGACAAGCTTTCGTTGTATCTACATTAAGATTAGCTGTTACGATAACTTGATACCATTTTATGGTTTTCAATGGAGCAACAGCTAAACTTGTCAACACAGTTTGAACAGATAGTTTGCCAACAAGCGATGTGTTAAGGATAATGCTGTAAATGCGGTCTTATGCATAAATCAGAATGCACTACAAGTTATCGCACTTGAACAAATGTGTCGCCAATGTTTGTGGGAGCTTGCAATATCGTTCATTCAAATAAATTTCGTTTGTGAAAGCGATAACTTGCTGAAAAGTTTTCTCTAAAAAAACGAGCCGTAAAAATGTAAAAGGGGCAAGCAAGCATTCTTACTTCTTTTTTCTTTTTCGTCCGCCCCAAATCGTTCTGGAATAATTTAAAAATTATTCGTCAGAGTTTTAGCTTCCGTCTGTCCGTAGCTAATCTGTGTGTGCCTCACGATTTGTTGTAACAGTGATGTCTTTGTGTGCTAACTAACATTTTACCACTCGTGTTGTTGTCCAATATATGTAAATATACTATCAGTTTAACAGTGTTTTCTTTTTGATATTTTCGTTTTTTTTTCGGCACTCGACACACGTGTTTTGCACTGTGAGTCAGGCAGTGTACTCACCTCGCCTTCCGCTCGTTTTTTCTCGAGTTCCTTTTGCTTGGCATGCTCCTCAGCTATGCGGGCTTCGATAGCGGCCAGTGACTCTCTTGTGAAGGGTCGGAACAAGCTTCGTTCTTCCTCGCTGATCGAGTCCAAGTCCTCGGACATTGTCTATCGAACTCCCCCCGAGTGAACTGCCTACTGCATTAAAAAGAAAACGAGTTAAAAATGTTGTACTGAGAAAAAATATTCGAATTAGACTTGTGTCCTAATCTAAATGATATTTATAACATAACTGCTCAAAATATTGTGGATAGTAAAACGTGATTAAACCTAGGTATAGAATTATTATCCGCAAAATCTTATCGAAATTATACAAACTAACGATTTACGATAGTTGGCGTTAATCCAAAACAATAAGCACGCAAGTTGAAGTGACCTTAGTTTCTTTTGTGAGCTGTTAGCCTTGATAGCATTCTGCACAAAGAAGATACCTATTCATATTGGATAAGATTAATGTTATTTTCAAAATAAATGTTTTGTTAAAATAACATAATATTTTGCCATTTGCGCGAATTCTCTACAAACTTAGCTTATGACGGCGTCAGTACCTACTAAGACTGTTCATTGGACAACTCAATGATTTTAAACACGCCCCAAAATAATACCAGCACTCTTCACAGGCCTCTTCTCCTACGCAGAAGTATCGAGCATTTACCACCACGCTTACTCAAAACGGTTTGACGATTCAAGACAAAAATTATAATTCCAAATTTCCTCATGATATTTTCTTTCGCCGTCATTAGAAAAGTATGGACTAATGACTTTATTACTGACTATTTATGCCATATCAAAAAACGAAAACACGACAGAAAAACAGCTTTGTTCCATTGTTTTTCTCCGGTCAAAGAATACCTGTATAAAAAGAAAGTAAGTAGGTAACTGCGGGTCGATTACAAGATTATACTCACAGTAAGGAGGCGTAAATGATTTATACAAATTATAAAGAGGACGAGATGTGGTTGTATTAACAATATAATTTCCCCTACAGCGCCTCCGGGGCCTATAAGACGGTGTTTGTGCCTTACCAAACCGGGCCAAGGCCACCATTTATAGAGTACGTTACAACCTTACTTTCATACGATATTTTATTTATTCCCTTTCTTTATCGCTTTGGGATACTTTATATAAGATTAATATTTGTACAAATAATAATTTATTGGCCATTTTATAGATTGTGTAACTAGAACTACCTAGTTCGTTATAAGCTAACGATTTCGGTTCATCTTGATTGAGTAGTGAATATTGATTTGATTAAGTTATGAAATCCTTAAATATGACTTAATTTGTAAGCTTTATCAATGTGCTATGTGAATAGAAAACTAAAGCTAAACTCTTTTCACTAACTTAAACTGACCGTATGTCCAAAACAAATTTCAAGTTAAAATATACTAATCCCATGTATTAATTAATACTCTGAACACTACAAACATTTACATCGTAACCCGAAAACAGTTAGTCTACATATTACGTATGTTAAATAGAAAAAAGGACTAACTAAAAAATGAGGATATCCCAAAATTGAACCTTATTATTGAAACATAAGCTTTTAGATTTAAATACTTTATTTTTAGAGTTAGGTCTCTTTTCTGTTTAATATGTCTAAGAATGGGATGATAAATCACTGATTTTTATGCGAAAAAATTCTTCAAAAACATACCAGACTATCGCATCTCTCTATCTTTGAAGAGTGGGATAATCTAGTCATCTTCGGCATGTACGCAATGCGGGACGGGAAATTATCTTTCCCGCACTGCGTATTCGTAGTGACATCTCCACTTATTTCTTTGTTCAATCTTCTCTAAAGATATGTCAGATACTTCGACAAGACTTAGAAGTAAGGTCTTAGTTCAATAAACTTGTAAACAAGACTAGTAACTGCATAAATTTGTATGTCAAAATAGTCTCAGATAGCATATTAATAATGTTGTCCGATGAATAAGGTTAATTGTAAATAGCAGTGTATGAACGCTGCAGTACTAAATATAAATTGACGACAAGATATTAGCTTTCTATCTTTTGATGTAAATGTTTTAAAGTCATTCGATAGCTTTTGTTTTCATTGTAACCGACAATGAACAGACAAACCAGACTAAAGCGACGGTTGACTTTATTGTAGTAAAAATCTATGTTACAAATACAATATAGGTATAGTGTAATAAATTTATATATCTAAAAGTGGTCGTGTTAGTTACACTTTTGTTGTTTTGTTTTGTTAGTTACACATTTGTAACTCAAGAACGGCTGAACTATGTTCTTTATAGAGCATATATTGTAGTTCAAAACCAGAAGAAGAACGTAGGAAAGGCTAGAGTAGGTAAGGTGTATTTTTTTGTGAGGGAAAATCATCATATGACTTCTCCCGCTTAGAATCGGGCGGGAGGGAGTGTCATACTCTTACTACCAAAACCCCCCCCGTTCCTTCTCCTGCTTTGGGCCGAGGCCACGGTGCTACATTGCGCTTGCCGCGTAACCCTGGAGAGTAGGTAGGGTAGGGTTGGTAGGATAGGGTGCCTAGGATGGTATAGTTATAAGGTTGATAGTGTAGCTTAGGTGGTATAACTGTAGGTTACTAGGTAGTCAAATGACGGGAGCAAAGCCGTGGATAAAGTATTTTAATATTAAAGTATATGTTTACCTGCTAACAGTGAATGGGCGGGTGTGTGTGGTGCGGGAAACGCGTGCGGCCGCACGCTCTACGCCCGCGTTCTCCCGCCGACCACCTACGGGCGGACCGCCCTTCTGCGAAACAGAACAAGTATTACCCTAAAACAAACATTTATATTTAATAAAAATAATAATATTATTCTAACATATTTAGGTTAAGGGTACAAGCCACACAAGAGAAAAAACAATGCATAAATAACGCTTTCCGTTTCGATCTGGTACGTTTTTTTACGGAGAAATTTCATAGAGTTGCTTGCGGCGCCATAAGTTAATAGAAAGACGAGAGAAAGTGGCAGACTCTTGCTGATTTGGACGATACCATTTTCTTCAATAAACAGGCACAATGATTGTATTCTATTAATTTAAAGCTCATTTACATTCTACCATATGTATCGTTTAGTCCACACAAGAAAATAATTGCATTAATTAATAGTATCTAACAGGCAAGAAACCTGGATCGTGTAAATGGGGCTTTACTGTAGGTACTGACCAAATAAAATTCATCTCGTCCCAACTCCAGCTCCGAGATGGGCCGATACCTAGTTACCTACAGTTATACTACTTAACCTACACTATCTACACTACCATACGTACCCTATCCTACCTACCCTGCCCTACCAACTCTCCAGGGTTGCGAGGCAAGCGCAATGAGGCACCGTGTCCTCAGCCAAAAGTACGAGCAGAAGCTTTTAGGGGGTTTTTAGTCAGTAAGAAACTGACACAATCCCATCCCTAAGCGGGAAAAGTCATTTGATGATTTTCCCCTCACAAAAAAAAATTCACCTACGTATGTTCCGTTTAAGACATTAAACCACATATGATTAAAGAGGGGTCAGACGGAGTAATTACTTTAATAAGTGAAACACCACCAAATTCACATGAATATCTACGCTATAAAGTTTAATTTCTTAAAATATACTTAACATTAGAAATATGCTGGACGACATTTCTGAAGACTTAAGCTGTGCCTTTGTACCTCCTTTATTTTTTGATAAAACATTGCTCCACATCCGTATTGTTTCTTGTGTCAATGGTGCGTTTACAAATACTCAATTAACATACACCTGGCACCCAGACCCGAAAAAATAATTTGTAAATCACGCAGTGTTGTTACGTGCGGGAATCGAAACCGCGACACGTTGCAAGGCTGTCAGTTGCCAAGCCACCATACCAATCGTGATGTTATTGTATTAATCTTCTTGTATAATTGTGTACATAAGCTTTTAAATAAATAAATAAAATGTAGTTATAAATCATAAGGAGGTGTGATGAAAATTTGGGTTTATGTATAATAAAGTGTACTCATTTTTATTTATTTTATTCTTTATCCGCCTATGTAATGTTTTGTTGCATAAAGTTTAAAATAAAAATAAAATAATATAATAAATTGCATATCGGAGGACTTAATGCTAGATCCATTTTCTGCCAGTCAACATCAACAAGGTAGTGCAGAAATGGGTGGTAGATAATTATGCAGCAATTTAGGAAGTTACGGGAAGTGGAGGTGTAAATCAATTCAAAGCGACATACATAAAAATAATATATACAATATACATATATAATTACGTTTTGAAATTTGCTGTGTCCCCTTACTTAAATAAAGAACCTTTTGTAAATATAAGTACGCCTTACAAAAATTTGTAATAATCCATTTATCATGTAATCCGTCTCTAAGATCTGATCATCTTAGGTTTGATATCTAAAAGGTAGCCAGAGCCACTCAGTACCATCTACGGCTGTATGAATATATAATGGAGTACTGTCCCGGACTCAGTAAACGAACTTCCATTTGGTCGACTTTATGATTATTTTATGTTAATCATTTTGTATATCATCATCATCCTAATGGAGTTAATATTGATTTATTTCAATTGTAGGCGTTAGTTCATATTTTTCTTATATTATAATATGTAATTAGTTATGACTGTTCTCATAATTCATTGTGACAAAGATTTATGAGAGTGTTTACCGCTAATGGTGTCTCGAATTACCGGTTTAGTTCTAAATTTAACAATATTTTACATTATATGTATTACCACTATCAAAAAGACATATCGAAACTCCTAAAGCTCCAAGGAAACGTAACTCTTATTCTCTTCTTAATAGGGTCTATTACGGCCGATATTCAATCGGGTTTGCGGGTGCAAGCAGGATGAGGAACGTGGTAGTTTTTAATCAGTAAGAATGACTTAACTGTTAGAGATTTCAGTCCCATCTCTATAGCCTATCTTTATTCTTCTGAGAATATCGTAAATAATGAGAGAAGAATATTAATAAAATAAAAGATTAATGGACACATCAGCTGATTGCATCCGGAGAAATGGGCCACTATTGTCAACCAGTAGACATCTCAGGGTGGATGCCGCTGGAGGGGTAGGCCCCGGAAAAGATGGCGTGACGATTTAGACGCCTATCGTCAAGACTGGTGGACACGGTCGAAAGATCGGAGGTGTGGAAGCGAGATGGGGAGGCCTTTGCCCAGCAGTGGGACATTATAGGCTAGAAAAAAAGGGTAATAAATATCCTTTGCTATACATGTAGTTAATGTAAACTTACATGTGTAGATACATTTTGGAAAGCAATAAAGACATTGAGTTTTCTGTACTGAAGTATGTAAGAGGCCCGTTATGAGTTTTTATATATGTCTTTGACGGTAATAAATATTATTATAGAAATAATTTTGATTTTGAAAAATACCTTTTATATCGAATATGTAAATTGATAATGTAATGTAACGTAACCAACTAAATGATGTAACAAAGAAATTAATTCTAAAACTGATTGAAATTGAGTATCTAACCATGGAGTTTCTTGCTCGGTCTTCTCCATAGGAATCTACACTTTGGAACGAGCAAATAGCTTCACTAGAGGACAGACGGACAGACTGACTCGCATAAAGTAAATTTTTTTTTTTATCTTGACGTTTAAAAGTGCCTTTTGGTTATTATATTAAATTGATTTTCATTTATTTACCTCGATTATTAGGTTGTTTTTTTTTCATAATTATTTTTCATTTAAAGTGAAATCATTTATTTTAAATAGAGCATTATTTTAGATATCATTTATTTTAGATATAGACCACTATTTAAAATAAATGATTTCACTTTAAATGCAAAAATAATTACTTATGAAATTTTTTATATAATATTTAATAATCCAGAAACGTTTAGTCGTTAAAATGATGCTTTGTATGATTCTCACGTTGCAAATTGACATTATATTTGTATAGTGAACATAAATTTGGTCAGACAAAAACATACACAGGAATCTTTATTCGTCATTGCACGTGATTGAAATTATCAAGTAAATATTTCTAGTCTGCGGCAACTTTTTTGTGTAGTTTACGCAGGCGCCATCTCAAGGTTAATTTGAAATAAGCAGTCGTATTATAGTCACGGATCAAAGTTCAAAGTATTATTTATTTCATTTAATCCTTAAGTAGGAACTTTTGAAACACCAAAAATCTGGTGCATCGGCCTGCCCGTCAGTGAAGCTGGGTACGTTAATGTATGTAGATTCGTATGAAGAAGAGTGACCAAGAAAATTCAGTATTTGAAATTTGACGATTACTTACTGCACCCTTGAAAATTTACAAATTAGAATACTCAACAAAGAAACACTAAAAAAAAGAACTTAAGAAATTGCTACTTCAAAAATACTTCAACGCTGTATCAGATTTTTAAACTTACATGACATAATAAGTTTAAGTATAAGGTTCAAAAATATTCACAAGACCTTATTGTATTCATTACCTACATTCTAAGCAAATATATTGTTATATTCTGTTCTCTTCTATTTGTTTTGTATTCTATTGAATAATTAATATTTATTCAAGACTCGGGAAATTTCACAGAAATAAGTAAGTTAAATGATTTGAACCCAAAGGAGGAAAGAGGCCGTGCCTCTTCAACCAATCCTGGGATTATCTTCGCAAAATGTTATTGGATATGTCAATTTGTCAATGTCAGAACCATCCCAGAGATTGATATTGTGATCTGTTTATGGTATGTTTGCATTCCTAATAGACGTGGTGGCTGGGTAACCGGCTGTCGAGCATCGTGTAGGGGTTAGGTTCCCTCACAGAACAAGTCAGTGTGTGATCCTCATATTGTTGTTCCTGGCCTTTTCTTGTAAGAGGAAGAGAAAATCATCTGTTGCTGCCCAGGTTAGGGCGAGAAAAGGGACTTTCAGACTCTTACTGAATAACCCCCCCCCTGTTCCTTCTCCTGATTTAGGCCAAGGCCGTGGGACTTGTTTCCTAGTCGGTGCGTAATTTTCGTGTGAAATTATATGTTTGTACAACTTATATCCCGATTTATTCCTGGTCTGGGTGTAATGTTTGAGTGAAATTGTATGTTTGTACGAACGCAGCCACGATACAGGCGAAAGTCCTAGTGAGGGGAAACGTTTTCAAAAAACGAAAATAACTAATAGTATTTACGATTTCTAGATTTTATAATTATTATTATTAATCTGACCACTGAACATTGAGATTAGCAAATCCCTGTACAAATTTTGTTTTTATTTTTTTCAAGTAGTCAGTGTCCAATTTCTAACCAGGGTTTACCATTATATGTAGATATGATCTGTCTTTTTAAAATTTGCTCGGACCTTAACCTAACACAACGACCTATGTATATTCCATTTACGTTTTACTCTAGTTATATGTTTAGTGCAAATATTATTAGAACACATTAAAAGAACTTAAAAACACAGAGTTAACTTTAAAAAGTATGTAAATAAAGAGGTAACATCAAAATTATAAAAACCAGTATAAACAGACCTTTGAACTTGCGAAAACATCATTCAAAGCTAGACAATGATAAACTAGTTCTAGCCGTGTGTACGTCATATTAAAATGAGTTGAAAAACTGACCTGTCGTCCGCGAGAGCAGTGTGACCGCGGCTACTAGAGAGATGAAAGTTACCACTCGATCGCTGATAGGGACAGCCAGCAAATGGGCAAGATTTTTCATGACCGACCTGCAACAAAATATGTGTTATTAAACATTGCGCACAAGTCTTGTAAGTTTAAAATTGTCTTTTTTAAGTAAAATGATAGATTTTTTTGTGTTTAGTTTTTTACACTGCTAAATGAGGTTTTTCACAAATCAGCACCTACTCAGTTACGTTAAGATTATCCCATTCCTTTTATCTGACTGAAATATGGACAATGGACAGCCTGAATAATAGATTTTGGTGGACATTTCACATTTTCGTTCATACATATTATCAGCCTAAGGTAATTGTACCAATCCTTGATACTGGCCTAGAAGTTGATAATTTTTACTTTAACTCATCACAATAACAATTCCTCCAAGGATATCTATAAAACGTTAACAATTTGTACTAGTAGTGATATCTCTTAATCTAACCTGGTATTACTTTCTCTGTGATTTCACGTCAAATCTTGACAATTTAATTTTGTTTGCAACAGTGTCGTATCATGTTCGCCGCTCAATGCATAGGTTAACGAATTTCATAAGGACCTTACTTGTTTCGACTTGTGTTACTCAAAATTGAAGCTTATAAAGTGGTAAGTGTTGGCATTATTCTATAAAAGATGTTATAAACTATGTAAATATTTTGTTTTCCAACAGTTTTTGCAATATTTAAACGAATTATAAGGGTATCAAATACTAGGACAAAAAACATCTGATTTCTAGTACTTGATACAACTATCATCTACCGGGTATATTCTCAATTGCTCGTTTTGATTAATTTTTTATCCTATTACAATAAGTTTAAGGTTGAACTATATTAGTACCAAATATAGCTTTTCTAAGAGGCTTCTACCCAGTCGTTGATAGGGGCCATCAATTACTGGGACGTAAAATATCAAATACTAGTACAAAAGTAAAGCTGTCTTTATTGTGCAGGTACTCATTGAGTTAAACGATCGATAATACGTTAAAAATGCCTCCAATATAGGGAAAAATGTTCACTTATTCAGAAGATGATATGGTAAAAGCATAATAATGAGGTAAAATCTGGGATTTCAATATCCGCTGCGGCTAAAAAATATAATATCCCTTATAGCACTCTTTCATATAAAGTGCATGGTAAGACACCATTTGAACTCCGGGACTCGGGACTCCGGGACTCCGGAACTCTCGGGTCCGGAATCATATTTATCAACAGAGCAAGAAAATGTCCTTGTTTTATGGATATTGGAGATGGCAAAAGCTGGATTTCCCGTAACTGTGCAGCAGTTACAAGACAGTGTATGCAAGCTAGTGGCGAAATTAAATATTAAAACTCCTTTTAAAAATAACAGACCTGGGAGACATTGGTATGAATCTCCAAATTTTGTTCCGAAAATGGTATTGTTCTTGTGGCATTGTACCCTAATGCCACACATTTAATCCAACCCATGGATGTTTCTTTATTTCGTACCTTTAAATCAGCCTGGAGAACTACTGTCCAGAATTGGCGCTTACAAAATATAGACAATTCTAGACTCAAAAAAGTACACTTTGCCCCACTCTTAGAACAAGTTCTACAGAACACTTTAAAAAAGATTTGGAGATGATAACCTTAAAACATTCAGGAATTCCAAAAAATGGAGCGGAGACATACAGGATAAATCACTTTTTGAATTTTGGAAGAATATCAAGAATAAGCACGACGTACTTTTGCAATCAGTGTCTTCAAATTATGACAAAAGAGTTGTTCTGACTGATGAACAAGAACATTTAATTGATGATAACAATAAAGAGAATTGTAGTATTTCAGAGCTAAATTTAGAAGCTTTAAGAGCTAGCTAGAGAAAGCATATTAACACCATCCCTTGAAACTCACAACTTTTTAAATGCGTCGGAAGTGACAGAGGTTTTGAACAACTTGAATGATCCGGAAAAAGACAAAATTACACCAACCAAATTTATTTGCGATAAAGAAAAAGAACAAATAGCTGATGAATTTATTGACAATCCACACCCACTTGCACTTACATCTCCTGTCGTTCAATCGTTTCTTCCCTTAAGTCCTACACAGCCAATAGCGTCAACCAGCACAGCAAAGTATATTATTCCTACCCCATTTAAAACTTCTTTATTTTGGCCTAAAGAAAAAGAAAACAAAAAGAAGAGAAAAACTGAGAAAGTACCTACAGTAATTACATCAGAAAAATGGCAAGAGTAACATGAAAATCAAGAGAGAAAAAAGCTAGAACAATTTGAACAGAGACAGAAAAGGGCTGAAGGAAGAGAAAGGAAAAACAAGAAAAAGAAGAAGCTAACAAAAATAAAAAAGTCCGTGCAAAGAAGACTGAAAGAAAAAAAAAACCTACTCCTAGAAAAAGGGTCACAAAGACATTGTTTGTTTTAAGTACTGAATCGGATTGTGAGTCATGGAAGCCTTCTGGTGGAAGTACAGATGATCTCGATAGCGACGATACTGATGATATGAATATTTTTTAAGTTTAATTTTCTGATAATTTAGTCGTTTCAAGATGTTTGTTTGATGAGACTGTATTTTTTTAAGTAAAACATTTTTAAGTCTTTTTTTACTTGATTTTAAGAAGATTTGTGAAATGTTTAAGTTCAGTTATTGTGATTATTTTAGTTTATTGCTGAAGTGTATACTTATCATGTACTGGGTCACTAGCATGAAAAAGTCATAGTCAATTACTGGGACAATTGAAAATTTACCCATCAATTACTAGTACATTTTTAGTCCTTTTGAAAAAAATAAATATAAAAATAAACAACACTCATTTTGTATATTTAAGTTATATGTAAGCGACATGAAAGACTGATTAATATTTGTTACTTACTTTGAAATTTCCAACTAAAGTAAATACATTGTTATTTAATAAAACGTGTTTTTTTTTCGCTAAAGTGTCAACTACTAGTACATCTACCTTATAAACGCAAAATGCTGAGTAAAGGCCTTTTCAAAAGCAAAGGTTTGAGATTTAATCACCACGCTTTCTCAAGGCGGATTGGCAATTTCAAACTTATAACTGGAAATTAAAAGTCCAGGCTTCCATACGATATTTTTTCGCCATAAGTCAGTGGTGTCTAAGTCATAGAAAAAGTCACATCATCTCATGCATGCGAAGTGGGCCCAAATTTCCGGGCCACCACGACATTTTGATGGTTTTAACTTTTAAACTTTCATGTTTCTTGTAAACATTATTATAATTTCGCGGGTATTAAAGCGAAAAGTAATTTTCCTTGAGCCTCTCGGCAATGGTCCGCTTCGTTTGCTCAATGTAGGAACTACCGCAGCTGCAGTTGATCTTGAAAACACCTGGGCTTTGTAGCGTAGTCTACTGCAGATACAATCATGAAAACACCGGAACACTGAAGTCCGGCGCGTCCATTCCAGGAACATGAATGACTGTCTTGGATCCAGCAACGAAATAAATCAGAAGGTCAGAAGGAAGGAAGGATCTGTTTCCACCTTGTCGTAAATTTTGGCCTCAGGTGTCCAACCAGGTCAAAACGTCAAGCCTTCGAAGGTATTTAAATAATTACTTTTCGCGTTAATACCCGCTTATATACATATTTTTGTGGTCATTAATATGGTGTAAAATCTATTTACCGTATATAGTGCAGTGCCTAGGGGTGTGTGTAGGTCTAGAGGGCGCGCGGGGTGGTGGCCGCGTCGCCCGCTGGCCGCGCGCGCTCCTCTCTCCAGTTTCGGCGCGCGCGCAACATCTGCGTCAGCCCTCAGCTGCGTCTGTACAACAAAGAAAAAATTCTTATAATAAAATTGTTTCTTTTCCAGAACTAAATATACATATGTATAAAAACTGCTTTCATCGCCTTCATGAAATTTGGTAGAGTCTTGAAAGAAAAGGGACACGAAAGGAACACATTTTTTTTATGTGATAGGTCGGCAAACAAGCTTGCGGAATACCTGATGGTAAGCAATCAGCGACGCCCATGGACACCCACAACACCAGAGGAGTTACGAGTGCATTGCTGATTAGGGATTGGGAGATTTAGGGAAAGTAGCCGAGTGAGTAAGGTTCCCTACTCACACGGCGACACACAACGCTGTAGTTGTTTCACGCTGGTTTTCTGTAAGGGCTCATATGGGTATCACTCCGGTCGAGCTCACCCATGAAATCGTTTTAAGAATCTGTATAATCAAGAAGTTACTTTCTTGATATGAAGAAAATTTCACTATAACAACCGCACACCTAATCACTTTATCAGTAGTGTAGGTACTCGTTCGTCCTCCAAATAAAATGTTATTTTATTAATGTCTACAATATTTGATAATGTAAAAGGTTATTTAAAAGATAATCTTCGAGCAACTGTTTGATTGTGTTATTATTTTACTTACATGCGAGTTGATTAATTAAAAGATAATTTTGTGACTACTGGTGTGGCTAACTTGTAACTAATTCCTTGTACATAATGCGATTCAATGTTCTTGTTTTTATGAAGGAATTTTACCAATATAATGTTTTATACTATTACCTAATAATAGGTCTTTACCTATAAAATTGCCGCTCTGCAGTACTGGCCATTTCAAATCAAAATAGTTTTTGTTAGGCTAAGGCTAATTAATTTTGTTTTAAAAACATGAGATTCTTTTTCCAAAAGCAGTCATTTGTTTATTGATTAGTGTTACATTTTCATCGCATTTCAATTCAAAAAATTGGTTTGTTGCAAAACAGAAATTTCATAGGTAAGGACCTATTATATCAGTCATTAAAATATGTACCTGTAGGTATACCAATAATATTGATTAGTTCATCAGAATCCCAGAATGTAGAATCACAAAACAGTTTGTTTCTATAGTGCAAAAAGTAAAAAAAAAAAACGTTGCCTTATGTTGTCATGGGTGCGTTTATAAACATGCTAACACAACGTTAATACAATTTATTAATTTTCTGGTATATACACTGGTATCTACATTAAAAACAACAGACAAAACATCCGAAACTAAGTGGTCAGTTGTTCCAATGGATACCCTCAACATCAGAAGAGTTAGAACAACGTTGCCGGCCTTAAAAGCAATAGATAATAATATGGCAAAAACTATTCTGGTTCTTAAGATCCCTTGATATATTACATACTTATGTTCCGTAGTTTTTTTTACAATAACATAATTCATACTATTAGAAGATTTGCTTTAATAATGGGCCACAACCGGTTGTGATGTTGTCAATATTACGCCAACATATTGTTGAATAACTGTTTATTATAATTTGTATTAGTCATCCTTCTAGCACTCGCTAAACATAAACTACTTGATATTTGTTTTTTTTATGTTTTGTATTGCCATCATTTAAATGTTTATTTTAAGGATAAGTCAAGGTTGACATGTGATTTAGTCGCATCTACCTCGTTAAGGTACTCTGTTGTACTTTATATGTACATTCGTCTCATATCTGTACATTTATAACAGTTATTTGTTTTATTTTGTTATATAAATAGTATCTAAGAAAATTTTTAATGTTGTCTATTTGAAATTGATCATTCAAGATCTTGTAAGAAAGACATAAATAAAAAAATGCAATAAAATAGGAAGAATTAGCAAAAAGAAACCGATATAGCATAAGTATACTTATATTTCAACTGTTTATCAGATACTGTTAGTTGTTATAGGTTACTTCACTATAATACATTTTAGTAATGTTATTCGACTTCGTTCCTTCGACGTGGAAACTTAAAGAACTAATCCTTCCAAAGGCTGAGGAGGCCTTAGTCCAACAGTGGACATCTTCCAGTTGATAATGATGAAGAAACATTTATGAGTATAGTTTAGAACGACGAACGAGATATTCGAAGACATGTGCCTTTTATAGGGACGCCTTTGAAAAGCAGTAATCATGAAATAATACTTACTCGTAGAATAATGAGCACTTATATCACATAAACAGACAATAGATACGTCTTGTATTGTCATGTTTCGTACCTTGTATAAAACAAAAGGTTGTGTGACATTTCTACGCATATCACAGAATCCACAGATTGCGCAAAGAACTCTTCAAAATGTTGGTGTTATATATTTCACTAGTTCTGACGTTTTTCGTTTACCTATTGTATTTGTATTTCACAAGGACTTTTAACTATTGGAAAAGCAGAAAAGTTCGCGGTCCGCAACCAACTGTGTTCTTTGGAAACATAAAAGAGTCAGCTCTGCGTCAAAAAAATATTGGCGTCGTCATGCAAGAAATATATAATAAGTATCCCAATGAAAAAGTAGTTGGTGTTTTTAGAATGACCTCTCCTTGTTTGCTTATACGAGACTTGGATATCCTGAAACATATCATGATCAAGGATTTCGAAGTGTTCACTGATCGTGGCATTGAATTCAGCAAGGAAGGTCTGGGACAAAACTTATTCCATGCTGATGGACACACATGGACAGCATTGAGGAATCGTTTTAGCCCAATTTTTACAACCGGTAAATTAAAAAATATGTTTTATTTAATGAACGAAGGTGCAAACAATTTTGTGGAGCATATCACCACAGAGTGCCAGAAGAAGGAAGAATTTGAAGTCCATTCTCTTCTCCAAACTTACACGGTCTCGACAATATCTTCCTGTGCTTTTGGAGTTGGCTATGACAGTCTAGATGACAAATTGGAAACGCTTAAACTTGTGGATCAAATAATATCAGCACCAACATACGCCAATGAATTAGACATGATGTATCCAGGACTTCTTACATCCCTAAATCTTTCTATTATTCCGGTACCTATACAGAAATTTTTCAAAAACCTCGTCGATAACATTATTGCTGAAAGAAACGGTAAACCAACTGGCAGAAACGATTTTATGGACTTAATACTAGAACTTCGTGAAATGAGGGAAGTTAATTACACAAAATATGGAAATTACGTAAAACCTCTTGAAATAACCCCTGACGTAATGGCAGCACAAGCTTTTGTATTTTATGTGGCAGGATATGAGACTAGTGCTACCACGATGTCCTACCTGATGTATCAACTAGCACTGAACCAAGACGTTCAAAATAAATTGATAGCTGAAATTGATGAAGTTGTTCAAGCGAACAATGGAGAAGTTACATACGACATCATTAAGGAAATGAAATACTTAAACAAAGTATTTGATGAAACTCTTCGTATGTATTCAATTGTAGAACCTCTGCAAAGGAAAGCCACAAGAGACTACCAAGTGCCTGGAACTGACCTGGTAATAGAAAAGGGCACAATAGTATTGATATCCCCAAGAGGTATACACTACGACAAGAAATATTACGACAACCCCGAACAATTCAACCCTGACAGATTTGATCCTGAGGAAGTTGGTAAGCGTCATCCGTGCGCTTACCTACCATTTGGACTTGGACAACGAAACTGCATCGGTAAGTACCTAATATAAAACTTTATACTAGAATTACTATTTCGAAATTCAAACTTATAAGTAATCTTTCGATCCGTACTCTACCTATAATATAAATAAACCTACTACACTACTACTACCGATAACAAAAATATTGATGTGTTAAAGTAATATTGGATTTTAATGAGGGTTCTCTTTTCTTTTCAGGCATGCGATTTGGCAGACTCCAATCTCAGTTATGCATTGTAAAGGTTTTATCTAATTTTCGAATAGAACCGTCGAAGAATACCGACAGAAATCTAAAAGTGAGCCCACACCGAGCCATCATTGGACCGAAAGGAGGGATCCATTTGAATATTATTCCTAGAAAGTTAAAAGCCTGAGGTAAAAATAAACTTTGTGAAAAATTACACACACATAGTTTTATGCATAGTAGAATATCTCAATTCTATTAATACACTAGCGGCCCGCCCCCGCTTCGCACGGGTCGAACTATCTCGCGATCAAAGGGTCACTTTTTCCTAATCTTCCCCTCTACTTTTCTAATATTATCTTTGATAAGATCCTTCACCTGACAATAACAAACACAACAAAAAAAGAATTAGCAAAATTGGCCAAAGCGTTGTTGAGTTATGCGCTTACCAACACATTTTGCGATCCATTTTTATATATAAGATAATAGATATCTTTATGTTTGTATAGGTAAATAGTGTCATGTTACCGCATATTTTTATAACATCGAAAAGTTATAATGTGTGCTAAAAATGTTTAAAAATTCCATCTGTTTACAGTTCACCATAACACGCATACCTTATAAATAAGTCTCTTAATAATAAACTATAGGAAATATCGAAATCTTGTAAATAAATGGTTATTTTTTAAAATATCGTAAGAAATATTCCTGTTTTATACCTATCGACATAGCCGATATTTAGACTGACAGTAAATACATGAGTCAACAATTGTAATATTTAATTGTTAACTATTTCAGCGCTAGCCTTGAGACTTGATCTACTTTAAATATATCTATAATTACTCTTTAATGAAAAAGAAGCGTTTTATAACAGTAGTAAACAATTATTTTTGAATCACAATCAGCGGTTACGCCATCGTTGTGACCTTGAGACCGCACTGAGCGACGAGACCGTTTCATTTATACTGGACAATGCGTATACGACGCAATTGTACAATTGAGCTTGTCAATTGTTAATGCACGTCCTCCTTTGTACTCATTTAGTTAATAAATATACTGTTAATGGTTTCTTCAAATTTAGCGCCATAATGTAACAAAATACAAGTGTTAGAGAGCAATGCTTCGGCACGAATGGGTCGGCTCGACCGGAGTGATACCACGGCCTCGCAGAAAACCGGCGTGAAACAACCACAGCGTTGTGTTTCGCCTTGTGAGTAAGGTTACCGTAGGCCCAATCCTTCCCTAACCCCTAATCCCTCCTCAATCCCTAAATCTCCAAATCCCTAATCCCTAAAAGGTCGGCAACGCACTAACGTAACTCCTCCGTTGCGGGTGTCCATGTGCGGCGCTGATACTTACCATCAGGTAATCAGCTCTGCTCGTGGTCCCTAAGATTACCCACTACATACAAACATACAAACTTACAAATTTTACCTCTTTATAATATTAGTATAGAATTATAGATTTCAAGTCTATTTGTTTTGTTATCTAAAAGGACAACGTTTATCAAATTGCGCAAATGTAAAGATAAAAATAGAAACGTTTATCTTTGATATAAGTACTAAGGTATTACATAATTTGTACAACACATTATTAACGTCAACACTACACTGGTTCTATAGTAACATTTTTTATTTCGTTAACAAAAAAGGGTCAGGAAGCTGATAGCAACGTCGTTTTTTTTCTACATATTAAACAAGTTTGGTACCTGTTTTAATTTAAAATTCCATCTTGGCGTTATAACATCCACACCTGTTACCAAAGGCGTAAACAGAAATGACTGTGTTGGCTAAATGTACAATACTCGTTGCCATAATAGCCATTAATTAAGTACCTAGTATATTCGCCGATGTAGGGTTAAATTATATATTTTGTATTTTCATCAGTGAGTATATAATTTACTCTTTTTGCGATACAATTTGACATTCGTGGGTAAAACTATTGACAATTCTGTTACGATCGAAGTTATTTAGAAAATAGTCATTATTGAACATGTTTTAGACCTTATCAATGAATTGATATCAACAAAACTTGAGAATTATAATGGATAACATCAACAGAATGTTTCTCGTGAACAACTTAACATCATGAGTAACGGTCCAGTCATTCATTCATTCATTTCACGTTATTCAACGGTTGAGTTGTGAGCTCTCTACAATGTTCGGAATAAACTTATTACTAGTGATTTTAGTGTTGTGTTGCTGTTTATACTTATACTTTACAAGGACATTTAACTACTGGAAGAAGAGAAATATTCGTGGTCCGAAACCAATAGTCTTTTTCGGTAACATTAAAGACTCAGCTCTTCGTAAGAAAAACCATGGTATCGTGATTCAAGAGATATACGATATGTTTCCAAATGAAAAAGTCGTCGGCATTTATAGAATGACGTCACCTACGCTCCTCGTGCGAGATTTAGATATAATAATACATATCATGATCAAGGACTTCGATGCTTTCACTGATCGTGGCCTGGACTTCAGTAACCGAGGTTTGGGCCAAAACTTATTCTTTGCTGATGGAGCCACATGGGCAGCGTTAAGAAGTCGATTCACTCCCATTTTTAGTACCAGTAAATTGAAAAATATGTTTTATTTAATAAATGAGGGTGCTAATAATTTCGTGGATTACGTTAGCAGTGAATGTCAAGTAAAAGATGACTTTGAAGTAGTCTCTCTTCTTCAAACATACACATTGGCTACGATCTCATCTTGTGCCTTCGGTATTAGTTATGATAGTCTTAATGATAAAATAGATACTCTAAAAATTGTTGATCAAATTCTTGCAAGACCAAGTCATGTGCTTGAGTTAGATATGTTGTACCCAGGACTTTTAAAATCGCTAAACTTGTCAATTTTTCCAAGAGATGTGCAAAATTTTTTCAAAAATTTAGTCGATCACATAATCACTCAGAGAAATGGTAAACCTTCGAAACGGAATGACTTCATGGATCTAATACTAGAACTTCGTGAAATGGGACAGATCAACAGTACAAAACACGGAAACAGTACGAAACCAATTGAAATAACTCCAGAAATAATGGCGTCACAAGCATTTACATTTTACGTTGCTGGCTATGAAACCAGCGCTGCTACTATGTCGTACATGCTTTACCAACTAGCAATCAACCAAAGCATTCAAAACAAATTAAGATCGGAAGTTGACAAGATAACCCAAGCGAATAATGGAGAAATAACATACGACACTATTAAGGAAATGAAATATTTAAGCAAAGTATTTGATGAAACTCTACGAATGTACTCAATTGTAGAACCTCTGCAGAGGAAAGCTACAAGGGACTACCAAGTGCCCGGGACTGACTTAGTAATCGAAAAGAACACGATAGTACTTATGTCTCCGAGAGGTATTCACTACGATGAGAAGTATTACGACGATCCTGAAGTATTTAACCCTGAGAGATTTGACCCGGAGGTGGCGGGCAATCGTCATCCATGCGCTTACCTACCATTTGGAGTCGGACAACGAAACTGTATCGGTGAGTTAATTATCTACAACCTTGACAAGATTCCGGGCTCAATTGTAGTGTCTATTTATTGTTTTCAGACATATCTACCGCCCATTGACCTTCGCATGGTCAACAGATTTATTTATATAACAGTAATAGATATCAACTCATATACTTATGAATAACAGTAGTATGTGTTGTTAATTATATGTTTGTATACGATGCAAATTTTATTTATTTCTATTCCATATCACTCTTTATGGTTTTGTCAGTTTCTAATGTTTTAAATACTTGATCTTAATCGTTAAGTAAAATAATACAAATGAAACCTTTCCAATTCCTTGGCGCTACTTTCTAATGTAAAACAGGTGTTATTTATGATATTTTTTTTATTAAAGTAATTGACAAGCGGAACCCTATGTTAAGTAGTAAAGAGTTGCATATAACACATTTAAATAAGTACTAATCAACAAAAACAAGTTGATGTGACCCTGTCATACTAAAGAATTGTAATCAAATAAAATAACTAATTAAACTTTTATTTATTTTTCAAGGTGTGCGCTTTGGTAAGCTGCAGTCTCAGCTATGCATAGCGAAGATTTTATCCAAGTTTCAAGTGGAACCTTCTCAAAATACACCCAAGAAGTTAGAAGTAGAACCAGATAGAGTTCTAATTGGACCAAAAGGGGGGCTACGTCTAAAGGTGGTGCCAAGAAAGATTAAAACGTAGATTAAAGAAGAATAAGGATGTGCTCTGCTCTGTTGTTTAAAGACTGCCACGCTTGTCAAATAGTTCATTGCAGCTGTCGAGAAAAGACCTAATTTCGGCCCATTTCACTTCCCGAATCAGGCAAAATATTATTGATATTTTTATATTTCGTGATTCTCAGTAATAACATATTATATTTCAAAATGAAAATAGAAAGGAAAGATTACTAATAGGTACTCATTTTTATACCATATAGAAATATAGACAAAACATCTAAATAAGTCTGCAATTTTGTTAATAAAAACAAATTGCGTGTATTTCATATTTGTTCGTATTTAAGAGTAGAAGGGGCCAGTCCGACCGGAGTTGTTATTATGCATACGTTGAATTTCATCATGTGGTTACCGGAGGCCTAATCCCAAATTCTTATCAAACCACAAAAGGCCAGCAACACTCTTTTATCTCTTTTGGTGTTGCGCTTGTCCACGGCGCCGATTAACATCCATCAGATGATTCGTCCGGCCGTTTGCTGACCCTTCCCATATAATAATATTATTAAACAGTATTTCCATCTTAATATATGTACCTATATTACTAAGTAAAAATTACTACTGGTCTCTTGATAATTGAAGTCCTACTTGCTAAATTTTCATGAACGTGCTACAGGCAAATACATATATATGTACACTGGATTTAAATAAGAAAAAACATATCACTCAACAAAAGAATTCGTATATAAGTTAAACAAACAAAATGATTAGCAGTATTATGTAGCCGAATGCATTAGACAGAACATTAAATGTCACAAAAATTCAAAAAGTCTTTAGTCAACAATTGTCTTCCATTTGTTACTAAGTTATATCATTTGGTACTAAAATATCACGTATACAGTGCTATTATCATCCAACTGTAGTTAATATAAAACAAATTTCGTGATAACACACCCTACAACTGATAACACCATGTAAAATATTAACAGTATAATAATCAAATGTGTCTCCTCGTATATAAAGTCATTTAACGAAGCTAGCCAGCTCATAGCACATTATGCGTTAAATGTGTTAAGAACTTCTAAAATGTCGTTCTTATATATTACTCTCGGATTAAGTGCATTGGTTTACGCGTTATACTACTATTTCACAAGAACATTCAACTACTGGAAGAGCAGAAATGTTCCCGGACCTGAACCAATCCCATTCTTCGGGAACATCAAGGAATCAGTTCTACGACAGAAGAATATAGGAGTCGTAATACATGACATCTACAAGGCGTTTCCAAATGAAAAAGTCGTTGGACTTTATAGAATGACTTCTCCTTGCCTCCTCGTTCGAGACTTGGAAATAATAAAACATATCATGATCAAAGACTTCGAGGTGTTCACGGATCGTGGAGTGGACTTTAGCAAACAAGGATTGGGACAAAATTTGTTCCACGCTGATGGAGAAACCTGGACGGCTTTGAGGAATAGATTCAGTCCTATTTTCACCACAGGTAAACTAAAAAATATGTTCTACCTAATGAATGAAGGAGCTGACTCGTTTGTGGACTATGTCAGTACAGAATGTCAATCAAGACAAGAGTTCGAAGTCCATCTTCTCCTGCAATCATATACTGTGTCTACAATTTCCGCCTGTGCTTTTGGAGTAAGCTATGACAGCCTCCAGGACAAAATGGAGGCCTTGAAACTAGTAGATCAAGTAATTTCATCACCAAGTTACATCGTCGAGTTAGATATGATGTATCCAGGACTCTTGCGATCTCTAAACCTTTCTCTTTTCCCCAAAGTTGTAATGAAATTCTTCGAAAATCTTGTCGACAATATTATTACTCAGAGGAATGGTAAACCATCAGGAAGAAATGATTTCATGGATCTCATATTAGAACTTCGTGAAAAGAAAGAAGTTAACAGTACGAAATTTGGGCACAGTGGCAAAACTCTAGAAATAACGTCTGATGTGATTGCGGCTCAAGCTTTTGTATTCTATGTCGCCGGGTACGAGACTAGTGCTACTACAATGGGCTACATGTTGTACCAACTAGCCATGAACCCAGACGTCCAGAAGAAGTTGACCGCGGAAATTGATGAAGTAATCCAAGCAAACAATGGACAAGTAACATACGAAACGATTAAGGAAATGAAGTATTTGAACAAAGTGTTCGATGAGACTCTACGAATGTACTCAATTGTAGAACCTCTGCAGAGGAAAGCTGTAAGAGAATACAAAGTGCCCGGGACTGATTTGACTATAGAGAAGGACACGATAGTACTTGTGTCGCCAAGAGGTATTCACTATGATGAGAAGTATTACGATGATCCTGAAGTATTCAACCCTGAGAGATTTGACCCGGAGGTGGCGGGCAATCGTCATCCATGCGCTTACTTACCATTTGGAATTGGACAACGAAACTGTATCGGTACGTAATTTAATTTATTTGACAATCTATTACTATCAATTTTAGCACAGTAAAACATTAAGCAGACTACATAGGTGAGGAAAAGAGTGCTGTAGGCTTTCTTTAAAAGACAAAGTTAAACCTTTCTATCGGACTATCCTTCCCAGTGGATTTCCAAATAATAATCTGTTAGTGATATTACTCATTAAACCATTTTCCATATTTCCAGGTATGCGGTTTGGCAGACTTCAATCTCAATTATGTATAACGAAGCTGTTGTCCAAATTCCAAGTGGAACCGTCTAAGAACACTGCCAGGAACTTGGAGGTTGAACCGCACCGTGGTATCATCGGTCCAAAGGGAGGAATACGTCTGAACGTTATACCCAGAAAAATAAAATCTTAAAAACTAGTTTGTACCGACCGAAAAATATCCAGAATCGAGACTGCATAAAGGAAAATGTATCTATTGGGTTGTGTAAAATAATGTTGTTAATATTTTATTGTAGGTTACAATGTGTCAATCGACACAGGAAAGTAAGGGAGAGAAAAAATTGAATTAAAGTCAGTCTTAATTTTCACTCGTCCGTTGTTGAAGAGAAAAAAACGTTGAGATCTAAATATCTATAAAAGATAAAGCTTTAATTGTTAAAAAAAATAACTAATACTTCTCAATACGCGTTTTTAGTTAGGTGAGTTATTGTAAAGTCTGGAAAGAAACACCAATTTAAACTCAAGGTACCTTTTGGCGAACGAAAATGAATGAAATTTGTCTATTTTTTTTAATAATGATAGTATGTGAGGTTACCTAAACAAAGAGCTATCGTAACTCATTATTATGTAAGTCTTAATAAAAAAAATATGTATATTTGATATAATAATCTTACCGGATTATGAGACTGACAACGTGAAAAGATACGGTAGATAAGTTTGTTACTTTTATTTGTATAAAAAAGGCGTTACTATTATCTTACATTGTCGATTGTTTAATGTTTTGATAATGTATGTGTCTGCGTGTGTGTGTGTTTGCGAATGACATTACCACATTCATAGTTAATTGTCAGGTTTAAGGAAAATGCATGTTGCCTATCTATCTATACTGATATTATAAAGCTGGAGTTTGTTTGTTTATTCACACTAGTCTCATGAACGATTGGTTCGAATTTAATTATTATTTTGTTGTTCAATAGATTATTTAGCGAGGAAGCCAGCGGGTGAAACCGCTGTCGAAACATATTGTATTGTATATCTAAAAGAAAGAAAAGAAACCATTGCAGTTATTGTAAATATTTAGTTTTAAACTTTTGTAATGGTATGTAAATTGTTAATTGTAAACTATGTTATAAAAATAAATACCTACATTAATAACTTTATTTGTTTTTCTTTTAAAATTAAAATTAAAATATATTGTCTTATTACTGCAAATATGTTTGTGCTATAAAGTATAAGGTTCTGGATCGATAACACTATTAACTCATAGCGATATTATTTAAAGGACTGATACATTATTGATATGTTCATTATTTTAAAAACAAGTACAAAATGTGTAATTTTTGTTTTCATGAGATTAAAATTATATCTTTGTAACTAAGTTGTGGTTTTGACTGCACGGTTGGTGCGGTGGCTGGGCACCTGGCTGCCGTGCAACACTTTGTGTGATCTACAAATACAGGTTCTGGGTCTGGGTGTCATGTGTATGTGAAATTGTATGTTTGTAACTGCACCCTTGAGAAAATCCTAGTGTGGAGCAACGTTTTTTTATATAAAAAGTGGTCGATCGGTCGAAAAAGTGACCGCCAAACTAGGATTCTTCTGAATTCTTGGGAGAGGAAAATCATCAAATGACTCCTCTCGAAGTGTCAAATTCTTACTGACCAAAACCTGCTTTTAGCAGTCATAGCAGATAAATTTAATTTTTTAATTTCCAAAAAATCTTTTCCTGGTCCTGTTACTACCCAGCCCCTTAAAACTTGTTAGGGTATGTAAAATGTAATATAAAAACAACACCATGACTGGTAAAAACAGTTGCACACCTCTGCGTTGCCCTGGGGGGAAAACAGTGATCGTGATAAAAATAATCTTGTAATCACAACCACTTAGAACGATAATTTATATTATTAATCCGTACAAGTTTTCACTTAGGTATCTTAGTAATCAAAACTCTCTTTTGGTATACAAAGGGTAGTTATTTAAAGAATATTTTAAAATCGTCGTGGTTTGACAAAACTATACATTCATCATCAACAGCCCCTAATTGCCACCAGTCAAATGTCGACGCCAGGCGGGTTAGCAAATAAAATTAAATGTACGTAATGTACTTTTTTTTCCAGGTATAAAAATATAAAAAAAAAATAGTTAAGTATCCTCATGATGTTTTCTTTTGACATGTTTCTCGAAAAAAGTCACATTGAGGTTTTAAGGGTTTCGAAACGGCACCCTCATGATTACTGTGCAGAAATAAAAAATAATAATAGATACTAATTGGGAAAAAGGATGACATTTTTATCCTCTAATAGTGTTAATCAGATAGTAATAAGCTAATCAATTAAATATTTTCTCGATTAGGTTTATCATGTCCAAATTTTGCAAAATCACCTTGAGTAGACATTGTAGGTAAACCTTCTTCTCATGAGAAAACTTTTTACAGTATGTAAGCAAGTCAATTTATTTATTTCTTGTATACTAATCTATACTAATATTATAAAAAGGTAAAATTTGTAAGTTTGTATGTTTTTAAGTTTGTTTGTAGGGGTTAAATCTTTGGAAAATTCTTTCACTAATGGATAGCTAAAATGTTCCTAAGTGCTTTAAAACATCACGCTACTATCAAATGGAGCTGAGCAGCGTTTGAAACCGCGCGAGAGTAGCTAGTCAATCTATATGTATGAATGAATCTTTTACCTAATAAATACATATAGTGACATGTGAGAAGTGTTCTCTTAAACTTGTCACCATGTCGCTATACACGTTTTGTATACATAATTGAGATCGCTTTAGAAACGAAAAAAAAAAATGGTAAACGGACTCATGATAAACGGATCAATTCCCGTACATTTCTGATGTTTATAAGGATTAAATCCCTAATAAACTCGGAACCTTTTAAACTGCGATTTTCGTCCCGTCTGTAAAGCGTGGAGATACAGTGGATTATATTATGGATCATCGTTTTTAAGTCCTTGATACCTGAATGAAAAACTAAAATAAATATTCGTAACCATTGACATTTAAACCGCTACTTTTTCCGGACAACGAACCGATTTGTCGTCTCTTATTATCAAATGGACAATATATTTTAATAGTATCAAGTTTGAGTTCTGTTATTTAAGTTGTTTTTTTTTTGTATTTTCAAATTAGTGATTTACGCCAGAAACTGCTTATTGCTTTCCAAATTGTAGGTCTGTAAAGTTTTTGTGAATTATGAAGTCTTGTCTATGCGCACGACTGAGAATGAACTCTAGATATGACACAAAAACGCGGCAAACGGCATTCTGTCCGCATTTTTACAGTGGACAGACTGAATACAAGATTTAGTGGCGGTTTAGAGAATGTTTATAGTGCTTTAAATGCACAAACGTATATAATTACTAGCTTTTTCCCGCGACTCCATTCGCGTGGAATAGACTTCCTGCAGATTAGTTGTTTAAAAACTATCCTATGTCCTTTCTCGAGTTCCAAACTATGTCTGAAAGTAGGTACCAAATTTCACAGAAATCGATTCTGTAGTTTAGGCGTGAAGAAAAGACAGACAGACAAAGTTACTTTCGCAATTATAATATTAGTTTGGATTCTGTGTGTTTGAACAATAGATTTACAATAGACAACAATATATTTCAAAGAAGAATGGTGTATCTCCCTACTCTCTAAATTACACAACATACTGACAACAATTGGATAAAAATTGATGATATATATTTTATTAAGAATCTGTAAATACAATTGTCATAAAGAGGTTAAATATATAAAGATAGAAAATAAACATGATGACAAAAATTAATGTTCTTTCTTATCATAAAAATTATGTACATGCAAATCCAAAACATTATTGCTTTTTTGTTTATTAAATTAAAATAATTTTAAAAGAAAATTATATAAAACTTAAAAAGTTGCTAACTCATTAAGTATTCTTACGATAACACAAGCGAGAAGTCGGACATAATACGATTATCCTAATCAAGTTTTCGGTTCGTATATAAAATCGGCGAGTTATTTACAAATCATTCATAAGTGTTCGGACCGGGTGTTTGGCCAGTCACAATCATGTCGGCCATATATTATCTCGCGGCAGTACCAGTGTTACTATACGCGGTGTATTATTATTTTACAAGGACATTCAACTATTGGAAGAGTAGAAATGTTCGTGGACCGGAACCGACAGCATTTTTTGGAAACATCAAGGAATCGGCACTACGCAAAAAAAATATCGGCATCGTAATGCAGGAATTATATAACGCATTTCCAAATGAAAAAGTGGTCGGGATCTACAGGATGACCTCACCTTGTCTTCTTATCCGAGACCTGGATATAATAAAACATATCATGATCAAAGACTTTGAAGCGTTTAGTGATCGTGGGGTGGAATTCAGTAAAGAAGGATTGGGACAAAACTTATTCCACGCTGATGGAGAAACATGGGCTGCTTTGAGAAATAGATTCACACCAATTTTCACCACAGGAAAACTGAAGAACATGTTCTACCTGATAAATGAAGGAGGCGATTCATTTGTAGAGTTTATAAAGACAGAATGTCAAAAGAAGCAGGAATTTGATATTCAGCCTCTTCTCCAGACTTACACCTTGTCCACGATCTCTGCCTGTGCATTCGGTATTAGCTACGACAGTAACGATGATAAATTGGAAACACTAAAACTTGTCGACAAAATATTTTCGTCACCGAGTTTTGCAAATGAATTAGATATGATGTATCCGGGACTCCTGAAAGCACTCAACCTTTCATTGTTCCCTACTGCTATCCAGAAATTCTTTGAAAATCTAGTGAAAACTGTTATGACGCAAAGAAATGGTAAACCATCTGGTCGGCATGATTTCATGGATCTCATTTTGGCACTCCGTCAAATGGGAGAGGTTTCGAACGCTAAATACGACTCTGCGAAGCCTGTTGAGATAACACCTGAAGTGATGGCAGCGCAAGCTTTTGCGTTCTATGCAGCTGGCTATGAAACCAGCGCTACTACCATGACTTACTTGCTTTACCAACTGGCAATGAACCCAGACGTCCAAGATAAATTAACGGCAGAAGTTGACGAGGTTCTTCGGGCAAATGATGGACAAGTAACATACGAATCCATTAAGGAAATGAAGTACATGAACAAAGTGTTCGATGAGACTCTACGAATGTACTCAATTTTAGAACCTCTGCAGAGGAAAGCTGTAAGAGAATACAAAGTGCCCGGGACTGATTTGACTTTAGAAAAGGACACGATAGTACTTGTGTCGCCGCGGGGTATTCACTATGATGAGAAGTATTACGACAACCCCGAACAATTCAACCCTGACAGATTTAATGTGGAGGAGGTTGGCAAGCGTCATCCGTGTGCTTACTTACCATTTGGACTTGGACAACGAAACTGTATCGGTAAGTCATGACATTTTAATCCATTTAATTTTCGAATGCCCATTACGTAGTCATGAAATAGACGTTGATGTAAAATTTGTTTTTAACTTCTCCTTCAATATTTAATTACTATGAGATGTTAATGAGAGAGAAAGAGCGAATACTATGAACTTATTACTATTTTATATTGGGTGTAAACATCTTTACATATTATGCTTATGCTGCTGCTCCTTCAGTACGCATTAATCGCTACCCATAAGAAGTGGTCAAACTCAAGGCGAAATAGACGATTTAGAAAAATGAAGTAGTTAATTTAAAACATTATAAGATGTGTATTTGTAAAAGGCTAGGGAGATGTCTAAATAAACATAGAAAGTACATTATATAACTTGATAAATAAGTAGGTACTACTCTGGGCAGGTTTCGAAACCGAACCGTCATTATTTAGATAATATGCTCTGCTCATAATTCGGATACCAATAAATAATTAAATAATTATTATAATAAATATAATTCTTGCTATTTTTTTCTCCTATCGACTGTAGGAAGAGATTCCAATCAGGAATATGCAGTGCATATTATATATCTTTATTTCTGTATTTATTTTCTTACAAGATTCCGTCCGGGTGGTTTGTTGATAAAAATTAGCCTATGTCCTAATTCCGGAGTGCTCCCTATGCCTGTGCCAAATTTCATCCAGATCCGTCCAACCGTTTTGGTGTGATTGAGTAACAATCGCATTTATAATGTAAATAAGATTTACTGTGTGTGTTTGTGCATCGCCACATATCAAATCAAATCAAATCAAAATCATTTATTCCAACTAAACCATAAATAGGTACTTTTGAAACGTCTAAATAGAATAGTAGTCTGTCAGTCTGTTCGTCAGTGAAGCTCGTTCCAAATTGTAGTTTCGAATGGAGAAGAACGAGTAAGAAACTCCATAGAAAACAAAGTCATTTTCTCTGTCCTTATGATGATTAATGTATTGATTCGGTTTTTGTATTAGGTAGAGTGATTGACTATGTTTTTATATATAACAACATCTATTAAAAAGCGTAGAATTTCAGTATCAGCATTGCATCTGTGTGAAGCCGGTGTGGGTCGCTTGTAAATAAGAAATGAATACGTCTTTTATCTAATAGCTAACAGCTAGAAGCTAGCAGCTAAAGCTATCAGTACATCATTGTGGGGCGTCAAAGTCAAAGTCAAAGTCAAAACCATTTATTCCAACTAAACCATAAATAGGTACTTTTGAAACGTCAAAATAGAAAAGTAGTCTGTCAGTCTGTTCGTCAGTGAAGCTAGGCGAAATTAAATGTATAATAATACTGTGATTATAATACACTGAACCTAAGGATCTTTCTCAATAGATACAACCCTTTCCTTTTCCTTTGATTATCTTTGGTGTGGTGGATCATAATGGCACTAATTTAATATTACATGGCATTAATTGTAAATTAATTTCTTTTCAGGAATGAGATTCGGCAGACTTCAGTCTCAATTGTGCATAACCAAGTTGCTGTCCAAGTTTCGAGTGGAACCGTCTAAGAATACTGCCAGGAAATTAGAGGTTGAACCACGCCGCTTCATTATCGGACCAAAGGGAGGAATAAAATTGAATATCGTTCCTAGAAAACTGAAGTCTTAATTATTTTACAACTGTTAATATTGTCATAGTTCTATATCGAGCACATTCATAAATGTATACGAGTTTTAATGCAAAATAATAAGTTATCTATACTAATATTATAAAGAGGTAAATTTTGTAAGTTTGTATGTAGGGGGTAATCTTTGGAACCACTGGTCGGATTACCAAAATTCTTTCACTGATAGATACCTACAATGTTCCCGTGTGCTATAGGCTATAAAACATCACGCTACAATCAAATGGAGTCGAGCAGCAAGTGAAACCGGGAATATCTAGTGTGTTATTAACCTAATTATTATATAAGACTTAAAACGGGTGAGCTGGTCAGATATTGTAGTCATTTGTAAACAACTAGTACAATTATTGCACATAAATCATCCATTATGTTATAGATAAGCTATTCTTAATTCTAATAGTGTACATAAGTTGGTTTTTGTTAATAAAATAAATACATTAATTATGTTGTACAAAAATATTGTACCTACTTATTATTTTTTATCACCTTTTTGCTAGGTTACATAGTACCTTGTACTATATAAAAAATACAATTACTGAGAAAACACGTGAGTGACTTACGGATACCTGACCAAAAAGTGGCATGTAGACACGTCTGTAGACGAACTATAAAAAGGTGGAAAAATTGATGATTTAATCTTTATAATTTGTAAAGAAGGTTTTATACTAATGTAGGTAATGAGGTATAAAAACTACAAACTTTTTGGTGCACCACGGTCTAAATACAAATACAGTTAAAAAAAAATTTGAATCGACAATTAGGCAGAAGACAAAATATACGCTTGCGCAAATCTCAGCCGAAAAAAAACTAAGATCGAAGAATCAGTTGCCATCGCAAAAAAAAATCTAAGATTCTAACTCTTGACATGTGACAAATAGGAATATGTCAAATCATAACCAAAAAAAGTTTTAATTCTGTACATTATACCTACTTGTGAACAATGACCGAGTACAAAGTTAAACTGTTTGATGAATTACGAAAATACGTAGGTAGCGGTACTTGTACAGATTAACTAACAAGGAAGGAGCTGAAGGTCATGTAAGGTCATCCCTTTGTCTTATCATACATTTACGTCTGACAAACGTACTATTGTGTTATATGAGTATACATGTAGCTGTCCATATAGACACAACATGTGATAAAAAAAACATTTCTCGTATATCATTGCGATTCGAAGATCCAAGGCCATTTTCGAAATTTTCTCGTATTTCTCTAACTAAATAAAAACCATTGATTTGTATAAAGTAGGTGTATGGAAGATTCCTATACAAATACTTCCAAGTCTAAAAACATGTTTTGTAGGTAAGTAAATGTTCTGTAATCACGAACGTTATACCCAAATTGGCACATGTAGCGTATCTAAAGACGGGTGGGTGCGAGAGAAAGTAATAAACATCGTGTTCTCGGTGTCTGTAATTCAATGAGTGGTGGTAGATACGTCTGGGTAGGGCGGGCGAGTTGAACAAACCCAGTGCCGCATTGATCGATACCACCGACCGGTTCAGGCGAAACGCCCCGAACATTGCAGCACTTTATGAAAGAAACACTATCTCTTTTTATGTATTAATACTTCAAGCTTTTATAGATTATTATCGTGCCATAATATCAAGTATGTTTTGTAAGACACCAAACTGTCAATACCTATAAACAATTTCAAAAAAGGAACCACCGTGCGTCTGTCTTTCTTCAATGAATTTTGTTTAAATTAAGAAATGGAATCGACCGAATTCCATTTAAATTACTCTTACAAGGGTTTGGTCTTTTTGCCATGTTCTTAATTCAAAATTGATAAGTGTCATTAGTTGACACTGCGAAATGTTGTAAAGACTACAAAATATCAGAGCATAGGAAAAACAAATATACTACTTAATGAGATTGTTTTTGTTCAAGCAAGTTTTTTTAAATTTTTATTGCTAAGTTAGACTAAACATTAGTAATGTTATAACGAAGAAAAAACATCACTTTTCACCACCAAATCCGTGCTTTGAAAAACCAAAATTGTTCGTATACATATAAAATGTCTTGAAAATAAAACTAAAGTGTGAACGACCGACCAAACTATGCAAACAAATAGCCACACATATAGCCGTAAGTCATATGAAACATGATTCAGTATCGAATTATAATATCTACAAATCGATCAGTTCTTCGAATAGAATATTCTGACGTACCTAAAGTTAGAACTTTACGTACTTAGGTATTCTCTTCTATAAACATCTGCCATGAAAGTGGATACCCTGCATGACGTGAATCATTTTGGATGACAAAGCAGGATTTGAGTCACAGTTTTCTTGGAAAACATCCCCATCGTTGGCATTTAAGTGTGTAGACTAAGGTAAGGGGTACGTAGAAACATATAAACAATTCAAAGCTATTCGTATTCGTATTCATTCTATTGTTAAAGTTCGTCAACACCGCGCTAAAGAGGACGTATACGCGATTGTTGTATTTACTTTTTTTATATGGGATAGGTCGGTAAACGATCTGCTTCTGGTTAGAAATGCGGTAGTTTCCACTAGACTAAGCAATTAAATTCAATATTTTTACTGAAATGTTAAAAACTATATTTTCCCAAGAACTTTGTATGAAATCGCAATATGCATATGGCGTCATAATGTTTTTCAAATGACATATTTATTATTGAAAAAGCAGCTAAAAATCTACAATTCCTTATATACGCATATAAGTGATTGGATGAATGAAAGCGATGTTTTAATAATAATCGCGCCTCCCGTGGGCACCGAAAGAGTTACAAGTGCGTTTCCGACCTTTTATGTGTTGTTAGTGATTTTAAGATTGAGGATTTTGGGATAGTTTGCTGTAGTAATAATAAAGTACGAGTATATACTTGTTTTATATTCAGACTAAAAAAATACTAAGTGTTATATGAGACATTACCAAAAAAAAAATTATGCTATGTCAAAGGAAAAAAATACAAAATAAAAAACCTTCTGCTTAACTATATTGTATGTTCCGTAACTCTTAATATTTTTTTCTAAAAACAGACACGGAAACATTTAAATTATAAATAGTAGCTGATGTCCGTTTAACATATGCAAAAAACTAGACTTATTCAAATGAATATGTAAGTTGTATAGCCACGACCTCGGCAAATATTTAAGCATTCACCTCTCAATTTCTGAACTAAGTTTTTTATATATTATATTTATATATTTCTCATAACAAACTAATAAATAAATATATCATATACCTACTCGTATTACCCAATATACTCTAAAGTCCAAATATACAATGTTTTATTCATCAGGAACAATAAATTAACTAATATAAGTATCTACCTAAAACTGTAATCAAAATAAACTGTTAAAAATGTATTAGCATATGTATTTCATTTACAAATTGCATCCAACGTAAGATTTTTATTTAATAAAAGTATCGAAGTCTAAGAGGACATTAGGTACCAAATCCTTCATTATTCTTTATCCTGGCCTTCTCCCAACTAGATTAGGATGGCACTTTATATCAATCAAATTCGGCAGAACATCACTATATCAGTTAGAATTTTACTAAAAGATACTAAGTGGATCGAAGTGTACTCTACTTTGACCTATTTAATATCATACAATTTCTTTGGTGAAAACAATTCAAACACTTTCAAATATATCATTATAATATCTATGTAAGAATTATTTTGGATATTTGTCCAATAATGGAGACATTTTTTTTTAACTTTGCTTGCACTTTGATTTTTTCCTGTGTTGTTTTACAAATACAATTTCACATACACATCACACACAGAACTGATGAGAAATTTCAAAAAGGTGCACTATATGGATTCAAGCCGACTTGGTTGTAACTTTATCCGAAATAAGTCAGCTATTTTAAAGTCTACGGTCATCAAATTAATATTAATAAGAAATAATCAGATAAACAAATGTAAGTCAATAATCAAGCATTACAAACTACGGCTAAAGATTTAGCTGACCTTTAAGCGTCCTCCTTTCTTAAAGGTTGTTAATAAAAGTGCTAGGTAGTTTCCGTGGGCGAGCGCGTGCAACGAACTTATAATGAAAATTAACATAGTGCTAGTGCAGTTTGTAAAATATTCTAATGTACGTTTTCATAAGGACTAAAAGACAATTTTAAATTTAAATTTCGAACGACTTTACTTATCTTAATTTTTTGTCTGTGGAAAATCATCAAATGACTTCTCCCGGCCAGCGTGAGACGAGAGGGAGTGTTAGACTCTTACTGGCTAACTCACCCCCCACCCCTCACCCCACTTTCCTTCTCCTCCTTTAGGCCTAGGCCGCGGTGCCTCATTGCCCTATAGGGCCCTGTTTGGTCTATTAGCTCTTTGAGACACGCGCGGTAAGCTACGCGCTGTCCGCCTGGGTCTGGTTCTGATCGGGCGGCGAGCAGCTCTTACTCGCCGTCCGCAGACCCGCACTATCTGTGGCCGGAGATCGTCTCTCGAAATTTCGAAGTACTGGATCTACAATTCTCGTACCCAACAAAGATTGCAAGCTGGTATTGTTTAACATTGTAAAATGAACATGCCATACCAGACCTAATAATAACATACCTACAACAATAATACCATCCTTTAAAAATCTCGTGATGAAAATTGGCATAGTCATTTAAATGCTGTTTTTTTTTCCTAGTCAATTACGACCTCAAACCATGTGACAGAGTATGGTTTAAATACCTACAATTTTATTAACTGCCTCACCTATAAATACTGTACATAATTGCAATCTCATTACAGACAAACGTATTCGAAGATTGTCATTTTTATCTGTGCATTAATTACTTCAGATAAGAAAGAGACAAGAAAAGATTTTGAAGTTGATAAAAGTGTAAAATGTTCGGTTTGTGTCCAACAAAATATTTTTTTATGTGACAGGGAGGCAAACACGATCACGGATTACCCATGGTCACACATAACACCAAAGAGTTGCGAGTGCGTTGCCGGCCTTTATGGATAAGGTTTTGGAGGTTTACGATTGTATTCGCCGCCGGATTCAGAATCATTCAAAGGTTCCTTAGCAATTATTTCCAAAACATTTATTTTTGAACATTCGCAGTGTGAGTTCAGTTACCGGAGGACCAATCCTTCCGTCCACAATCCCTAAATCTCCCGAATCCCTAATCCCCAAAAGGTTGGGAAGGCACTCGTAACTTCTCTGTTGTTGCGGGTGTCCATGGGCGGCGCTGATTGCTTACCATTAGGTAAAACGTGTGCTCGTTTGCTATCACATAAAAAAACATATTCGTCTAAATAATCTATACTAATATTATAAAGAGGTAAAAGGACATGGCCAAAAAAGTACCTTCCACGTACACGAACAAAATTAATACACTGTAAAATACAAATAGAAATATGAATTATTACGTAGTTTTTAGCCTCTCCAGACCTGACAATTATTATTAAAAAAATGTAAAAGTAATGCAACAAAATCAACTTATCGTTTGTCAAGTTTCGTTATAA